TTTTGAATAATCCAACAGAATTATTTATTTCTACACAACAGTGCATAGATATGCAATATTATTATAATTGTTTACACTCATTAAACCTTGTTTAAAATAAATATATTATATTTTTCAGCCTTGTCCGTTATTGATTTCCTTTAAAATTATCCTGCCGAGAGACTAATCCACTGAACTATTGAATTGGCAGTTCGAGCCATAAGCTAACCCTTTAAATTCGAACAGTAACCTTGTAAAGTCAGAAATGAATATTTTTATCTTTTTTTAGTTATTTTTTATAATGAATGTAGTAATGTCTCTATAAAATTTTTTTAAGGAGCATTTGCAAACATTCTTCACTTAACCCTTAGAATACATTTTGTCACAAATATGACATAGGTAAGTCGATAGAATCGTATTAAAAAAAAGCTAAATACATTAATAATGAAATTATTAATAGTAATAAGTGTAATTAAATAACGTATAGAAATATATAGAAATGATATAATTGCATTATAATAGTTAAATAATCGAAATATATTAAGTATGTAAAATGTATAATTATATATAAAGAATTGATTAAAACATTTTTGCTTTTATTTTAATTAAATGTTAGAATTGAAAACTATAAAATCATGCAAAACAACTTATAAATAGGATCAATAGTTGAACATTTCTAGATTTCGATTTCAACCTTTTAAAATCAATTGATAGTTTAACTACAATTCTTAAATCCATAATTTAAATAGAGTTTCATTAAAATATTGTTTAATTTCAAAATTGAGTTAATATATATGATATCTTAATTATTATACCTATTATTATATTAAGATTCTTTATTCGATTTAAATTTTCATTATATATCTTCAGTAGTAGCCTTTATATAGTTCAAAATGTTTAAAGAGGATAATAAGATAGATAATAATCTATCCTTGAAAGCAGTTAAGAATAAAATTTAATTGCATTGTGTATATTTCCAAAACTGTTTAAACTTTTATATTACATGCTTTTATTAAGAATTTGATTTTTAAATATTTTGATCATTTTAGCTATTTGAAAGTATATAATTATTTCATACTTATGAATAAATAATCTGGTTAATGATTATTTTATAGCTCTATTGGTTGCAAAAATTAATTTTTTTTCATTAAAATTTAAACAAATTTAACGTGTTTTTTTAAAAGTTCATAAAAATATATAATTTATTATTTTACATATGAATACAATGATTTTATGTATAAAATATAGATATGTTACATAACCGACAAATTCAATAATACTTTTTAAATTTATCGTTAAATCTATATAAACTCTCATTTATAAAGATGGTAAAGTGAAAAAAATAAATATTTCAAATTGATTATTTGAAAACGATTACTCAAAAATTATTTAGATGTAACGTAAATGCTCGCTTAATGTGCCTACTATATACTTTATAAATGGATTGTATAGTGCAATAAATTTAATTATGCATTTTAATATAATTCTAATTTATCAATAGTCTATTAAGGACGAAATAAAAAACGACGATTAATCATTTTATTATACATATATAAATCATTAATAAATAAATACAATTAAGATATTCGTATGGTATTAATTAATGTTTATTTTGATTAAAATAAAGAACGGAAAACCCATTTATTGGAAAGTAAATTTTTATTAGAAAAAATAGTTTTTTAAAATCCAAATTAATCATCGAACTCGACCAGATGGTGAACGTAAATGCGATTTAATATATCCTGTTCTATAATCAATGATATCTCTTGATGTTCCTCCAGATATTCCATGTCTGTGTCGTCGGCTCCAACTAGAATAATGGCTTTTATACATATACGTATCAATATATTTTAATCATATTCCTCTCTCTCTCTCTCTCTCTCTCTCTCTATATATATATATATATATATACATGTACTTTTTTTAGCATTTTTGAGTGTAAGATTATTGTATTAAATTAAACAGAAATTAAAAAATAATTTTTAAAAACTCAATTTCTTATTATATGAAATTATTTCAAATTAATAGAAGATTAATCCAATATAAAAGCAGAAAACTTGGATATTTTTGAATATCGTTTCTAAAAACCAAGGTAAAGGTTTAAATTTATTTTAAAAACTTGTTAAAAACTTCGTATTTAATATGATTTATCTGCATACAATGTATTTTGAAATAATATTTAAAACGCGTAAATCTGTTTGTTTTACTTCTGATATAGATTTTTCGATGTAAATTGTTGTCTTTCACCTATTTTTATACAACATTATTACCGGAATATTATTGAGTCATGATTTGTAACCTCTGCATCTTTCTATTTTTTTGTGAACATAGTACAGATTTTAAAATTAAAAAAAAAATTTTATTTTATTTTTTCATTTGTTGATAAAAGAAAGCAATTTTTAAGTAAAGCTACAGATATAAAAATGTAAATTAAAATATTTTGAAAGTATACATCAATTGACTTATATAAAAGTGAAATAATGTTGAATAGTCACTGTTAGTTTATTTTATCGCGTATTAAAATATGCACTACAACAGTATGCTTATTAATTCTGGAAACTATTTTATCAGGAACAATAAGTAAAAAAAATCATTGTTTTAAATGCGCAGGTTTCCCAGTTGCCAGGCTCCACAGCATATTTCAAAGCTCAAGGCCAATTCAAGCTACAATTTCCTATTATTTCCACAGCCTGTGCCTAAGGAGATTTCCGCTCTATTTGAAGGCTCGTGCCCACTCACATGACTCATTTATTTAGAGGAATTTGCAACTCGCGCCAAGGTTCACGACTCACAGTCAAAGAACTGTAGCGTGTCCCTAAGAGCACGACGCAGTCACAGTTTCTCCACGTGGAACTACTCGAAGAAGCTTTACAACCTCTCCTTTTCTTATAAATTTCTTATAAGTAACAGTTGGAAAATGCAAATTCTTCCCTCTCACTCTACCTATTTTATTGAATGTCCTCATTAATGATTTATTCTAAGCAATATATTTTCTATTTCTTTTATATAATATACTTCCATTTAATTTAATTTATCACACTTAAAAATGATATCCGATTTTAAATTATTGTAAAATTGATTTGAAATTATATAAATATAAACATAAAAGTAAATTTTAAATAAAGATCAAGTGAAGGATATTGCCATTATATTTTTATTTTTAATTTTTATAGTTAGTTTAAAATACTTACCGTAATAGACGAGTAAAATAATCCGGCCAATTATTTGGAAACATTACTAAAAAGAATCCAATTGCAATTAAAATCATTCCAGCAAGTTTCATTCCCATGAAATGAGCTCCATATAGGATAACATCTAAGGCTATTTGAAAAAGATAATAATAAGTCATTAACATTCTTTGTAACATTATTATGTAAATATCAATAAATAATTAATAATGGTTTCTTGTTATTTTTATTATTATAATATAAAATACAGAAACATGACACGAATATAAATATATAAAATAGGATTAAGATAGCAATAGTTATAATTAATTACATTACTTCAACAAAATAATGTTGTACTCTGTATATAATGTATACATTTTAGAAAGATCTTTTATTTCAATTTTTTGATATTTATTTGACACGAAGAGTATTTGAATAAGTAAAAAGTATCTATAATATATATATAGGGATACACCTCTGACAAATCTGCAAATTACATATGTTTATAGGTAAATTATATTGATACATTCAACTTAACAATTTTTTAATTTAGATTTGACTAAATATTAAAAATATACGACAAGCTTAAATCTTAATAAGTATAATTTAAAATCTGAATGTCAAAAAGTATAAATGACAAACTATTTATAATAAAAAAATAGGTTTGTAAATGTTTACATACATGTAACTTTTATACTCATCTCAAAAACTTTTTCTAACGAGGAATATATTATTTATTTAAATTAATTTTTATATTAAATTTAAATTTTATTATAAAATAAAATACTAAATTTTCATAAATGACAAGCTTAAGAAATAGTTTAATCCTATTAGTAAATAATTAGTTTAATATAATTAATCAATATATTATCAAATTAGGATACTTCAATTTTTATATGAGTGGCTGTTGTCATTGAATCTTAGATAAAAGAAATAAATTAAGTAAATTAAATAAATAAAGAGATAAATTGTATTCTTAATAAAAATTTAAAAATTTAATTATTCATCTTATGTTGTGAATGAAAATACTGTGTGATAATATATGTAAAAATTACTTAAAGCATCAAAAATAAATAGCAAAGGATTATAATTTACAAATTAATAAATGATAATATTTTCAGATCAGATTGATTTTGTCACAGTTGATACAAGTGTACATAAAGATATAGAATTTAGGAAAGTAGATAATTACTCAGTTTACAATTTCATGTTGGATGATGTATGTTTATCACAATATGGAAACACATTGTTTCATTATATTGTCTTCTATTTCTTTTTGTTTTATTTTTAATTATTCTTAAACTATTATTTGTTAATGATCAATTGTATTATAGTTACGTATTTATATTAATTTGAATGTATTTATTGAATACAAAAATGGTTTGATATTAAATGACATGTATTTTTTTACTTTACAATTAAATACGTTTAGTTATTTTTTTTATCACAGCAAAGCAATATCATCTAATTAACTTATTAATTATTAAATTTTTTCATAAGAATAAAGCTATTTTTAAGTATTATATCAAATTTTAAATTTTTAAAGATAAAAATTAACATAATCTATATTTTTTCTAATAATGTTTTGTTATTTCTTTATGAATCATGATTAAATGAAGTAAATATGATAAAATGTCGAGTGTTAAGTTAAATAAACAAATTGAGTAAATATCCAATAAAACAGTTAACTGAACATCTTCGATTATTTCGTAGTTATTAGTATTTTAATTTTTGTATAAAATTCCATATGATTGAACTTGACTATTATTCGCGTTTGTCTGCATTATCGCCTAGTTTTTACGAGAAGTCATTAAAAAATGTTGTTATTGAGATAATATAGTATTTTGTGTTCTATAATTTTTATTTTATTTTTATCATTGCTTGCTCGAGTATGCTTTCAATTCTATTAATCAGATGTTTTAATAATTTTATCAGATGTATTAATGTTACTACATTCTTTTTCAAGTTATTTCATTCAATAATATAAAATTTAATTTGTTAACACTTATTACATATTTAGTTAATTGATATTAACACTTTTATTAAAACACAATTTCGCTTAGTTTGTTAAGAATGTAAGATTACATAAAAAATTTTTGTACATGAAGAAATTGAATAAGATAATTGTAAATTATGAATGAGTAAGCTCTTAGAAATTTAGAATCTGTGAAATACAATTTTAGATTTTTTTATTTTACTTAATATGAGATACAGCTTTGATCAAAATATCTTACTATATTCTTTTTATATTTATCATAGTGATGTTACTTTCAATATATATATATATATATATTAATATTTTTTATGTCAGTTATTATTCCTCTTATTCACAATTTAAAAAATTTAATCAGTATTTTGCTCAATTTCAATATTTCCTGTTAAATCATTAGAAAGTTATATATTGTACAATAACTCATCTAATACAGTTATCGAGTGGCTATAAGTTATTAGTATTTAGCATGTAAATATGTAATATGTTCACTATTTTTCTATCTTCATCTATCGATTTATATAAAAATATTTAAATAATTTATTTGTTACTTATTACATGTGTAGTTTTCGTTCTTTTTGTAAAAAAATATAATAGAAAAATATATACTATTAATGGGAACAAATTTTTTTTTAAAAATAAGAACATGTTTTCGTAATAAATTTGAAATTTCCTCCCCTGTGTTAAAACTTATTTGATAACAAATGACTGCTTAATTATATTTGTGTACACATGCGTCATTTAACAGGATAATAAATAATAACATTAAAGAATAATTAACTAAAAATTATATTACAAATTTTCCATTAATCATTAATCTTTTTTTACCCCTTTTTTTTATTCAGTATATCGTTTCCAATGATAACATTACATTTTTTAGTTTTTAATTAATATTTAAGCTTTGATAAAGTTAACAGTTATTGGAATATGAAGATTCATAGTTTTATTCCTCAGATGACTATTAATTAAATAATGTAAAAGTATTTAAAACGGTAATTTTAGGAATAATGATGATTTTACAATCATGATAATAAACATAGATATATTTATAAAGCTATTAGAAATAATAAAGATAGGTAGCAAATAATTAAGATTGAGTAGATATCTTCAACAAAGTTAATAATATAACATTAATTTAACTCCCATGCATTAAAATCTATACAATTATTGCTATGCAAAGTTATGTTAAAATCAACAATTTAAAAATATTTCTAGAATTATTCTGAAAATATTTATATAAATATTATTAGGATGGTTTAAAAATTCTTATACTCGAATTTCATTACCCAGTCATTTTCTAAGTATTATTATAATCGTATTCACCTGGTTTATTTTTATATATTCTAGATTGCAGCATATTTTTAGCTAAAATATAGAATCTTAAGTTCTTATTTCTTTTTCTTATATAACATACATTATTTAAATACCAATGTACATTTACATTGGTTATATCGTGTATTTTTGTTTATAATTGTTATATTATTTTTTTCACTTGTGTACATGCATTTCTCCTTATACATTTCTTCGTGTTGTTTTATTTAGGGCATTCACAGCATTTTATCTCTATTATTCGCATATTCGATACTGTATCTTGGTACAATGTGTGCTTTCTATAAGATACTAAATATGAATATTTTTATCACTTATAAACACCTATAGTATTTTTCTTATCTACGATTTGTATCATAATTCGACATTTTTCGTTTATTTGTAATGAGCGAGTAGTTCTACTATAAATTTCAAATAGTTGTTAATGTAAACTTCATTTTCAATATCAACTTTATTCAGTACATACCACTACTTGTTAAAAAATATTTTGTGTTAGTACATATATTTTGTTAAATAAGTACTATTATTTTTTGTTATAAGTCGATAATATAATTTATGTACACGAACGTTTTGTTTCTTATGTTAATGAGCAATTTCAAGAGGATATATTCAAACGGATACAAATGATTAAATTTGATAATCTATTTCGATATACTTATTTTAAATTGTCTTTATATTACAAAAAGATTAAAATTTTTTATAATAAATAATTACAATGTTTTTAGAATTAACTGAAAGGCCATGAGATGTTATGTGGCAGAAATATGCAGGCAAGTGGAAGGGACAGCGCATTAATTCAATATTTAACACATCTGTTTGTTGTGCTATATATTCCGTTTAATTTCTAAATACAGGAATGATTTTTGTTGATAAATTCAATTGATGAACTCTTGGAGTTCTGTGGCGATTGACACTTGCCGTTAGTATGCACTACATGCGGAGGTAGGAAGTTGAAAGTTTCCTGATACTCGTGACGAAGTGCGCTTGTGGTAGATTACCGTGAGGCGTGAGAGGTTGTAAAGCTCTTACTACTTCTTCGAGTAATGCCACGTGGTGAGTCTGCCATTGCTTCGTGGTTGGAGCACGAGCGGTTCTCCTTGTAGGCGTGTGCTTCGTGCGTGTGGGGCACGAGCGGTTCTCCTTGTAGGCGTGTGCTTCGTGTGCGCGGGGCACGAGCGGTTTCTCCTTGGGGTACAAGTAGTAGAATTAGTTAGTATAAGGTTGCGTGTACTTTTCAAAGTGGCCTTAATCCTTGAAATATGCTCGGTGATCTGGCTCCTGGAGAAACCTAGAGTTGAAGTTAGTGGCTATGGCGCCTGTTGAGTTGATACTGTTACCAGTGAAGACATGGCTTTGGACTCTGCTGAGAAGTGAGAGAGTGATGGCTCGTCGCGTGCTTGCCTTATATATCCACGCGGCAGCTTACTTATCTGGCAACAAAGCATTGTTGCTATACTGTAATGTTATACGAGGGGCAGAAAGAAAACTCTAGAAGTTTCGAGACTTCTAAAAAAAAACAACGGTTAATAAATTTGGAGAATTCCAAGCGACGTTACTACTGGAAAATAATATAAAATTGTAGACCATTTGAAACTAAAACATAACAAGTACAAGCAAATTCTCATACCCAAGTGTTTACAGAAACTTCAGAGCTAGAGACTAGCGATGTTGACAGTCAACGGTCTTGGAAATTGCTTCAATCTCAAACACAATTAATTAAATACATAATTAAACGTAATTGTAATCGAAATTTGTTTGAACGGACTTTATTAAACATAAAAATATCTAAAAAATACTTTAAATTTTTTAATATTAAAAAATATTATGTAGTCAGTCGCATATTTATATAATGTAAAAAATATATATTACTAAAACATTAAAAATATGTGAATAAGGAATTCAGTAACAGACATACAATTAGTAATAGATTTAATCAAATATTTTAATTAATATTTAAAACTTAAGATGCTTTTTTGTAATCAAATTACTTTATAAATGAGGAGCTGAAAAGGGAAGGTATGTGTTAGCGTTGCTTTTAGTAGAATGCAAGAAACGGGCATGAATTTCTAAGTTTTATTGAAAGGCAGACAGTCCTATTAATTAAATTTTAAAAAATGCGAACTATGTGATGTTGCGTTTATATCGAATTAGACGTCCTTGAATAAAAATTTATACTTCACATCATTATGCGGAATAATTTTGAATTTAACTAGTTTCTATTCTTAATATAAAGTAATACTCGAACACGGTATCTCGTAGTGTATATACATTTCTATACACGTGTGGTGCAATCACATTGTATTTCTTACTTTAGATGATTTAATATTTTTTATTTATTTACTGTTACTTTAATTCTTAAGCTTCCTTCTTTTCTTTCGAAATATTTATATTTTCATAAATTATATAAGGGATATAAATGTAATGAATTATGTACTGTAGTAAGATACACGAATGTACTCAAAATGTAATACTTGTACTTATACCATTTAATGAAAAAAAAAGATGCAAATGCTATAAAATTTCATTTTCTTTAATCACTATGACATCAGAAAAGCAAAGGAAATATTGACTTCATTTCTTATTTAAACAATTAAAAAACAATTAAATTATCCAAAAATTAAAGTTAAAGCATTTCATTTTCTTTAATAATATACATTAGAATAATTCGAAAAATCATAAACGCTAATATCATCACAGTTTACTCAATAAAAAATAGAAATTAGATATGTGTTATATAACGTATATAATATAACATATTTTATTCAGTGGACACATGTAAAGAAATTGATTATTAATGTATAATTATCTTCAATCAATTTTCAATTTTAATAGAAAATTAACAAGGATGTTAATAATTAAAAACTACCAGATGCTAAATTTATAAAATTAATAAAACTTAGAAAAGAATAAATATGCTATTTCTTTTTGCATACCATTATCATAAACTTTTTATAATTTACCTCATTAATTCTTTGATTAATCTTTTGTTTTTCTTAAAATTCATCAAGAACAGATTTTTCTCTCTCTTTTAAATACGAGTGCATGTGAAATTATTCAATATTTTATAATCGTGAATTAAAACAGCAAATAATCATGGCATAAGAAAATAGAAATGTATTTTTTAATTTCTCAATACACAAATGTTTAAAATATTTTTATGGGTAGATACTATATATATTAATATGTAATTCTTTTATTACAATGATAAATATTATTTAATATTGTTATTATAATTAATACAATGAAACAAACCAGCAGATACTGGAACAGCTGTTATTAATCCTAATGTTACAAATAGGTTATATGTTACAGCTATACTAAAATTTCCAAGCATATTAGCAGCTGAAAATATTTATTGTAATTAAGGATTTAGATTAAATGGTATTAATTCAATACTATTAAATTTTCAGATACCTAGATGTAAAATACTTGCTGCCAATAAGACTATCCATGGAAATTTCTCCCAAAGAATATATTCTACTCCAGAAAAGTATAGAACAAGACATATGGGCCATAGTAAAGCAGCATTGCATATACCAATAATTGAAAAAAAAAGAGATATTTCTCCAAATGTAGTATCTCCAATAACTTTTTTAAATAGAACCTATAAGAGATAATATAGAATTTTATTTAAAAAAGTGTATTTCATAGATTTTATTTATTTATTATTTTAATAGTATCGTTATTATTCATTAATTATAAAAATAATGAAGTGTTCTACAAATTGTAAAAGTACTGAAAACATTTTTATTATAGCCTAATTAATCCAGTTATACGGGAAGGTAGAACAGCTATAATTATCGAAATCAAAATAGTTATTTTTATTTTATAAAATCTATATATGTCTTCTAATGTAAGTAGTTTAGAAACTATTTTATAAAATTGATATAAATCATATTAAATTAATTTTATTTAATATACAGTGGTTTTTTTCAACATCTGATATACTAAAATTATTGATTTGAGGAGTTAATCTAATAATTTGTTATCATTTTTACTTGTATATGATTGAGTAAAACTAATTTTTCTATATATGATCATATTGATATATTAAATAATTATTGTTTTTTTATATATAAGATGTAAAGATTCGTAATTTTTTAATATACCAGTTTAACGTATTTTATAATTGAAAATATAATTTCTATTCTATATATAAATTTTTTATATAATATTAGGTTCGAAATAGTTATTTAATATGACGTGAATAAGAGATAGTGTGTTGTATAATATTTTTAACAGGTAGAACAATACATTACATAAATTATTTAAATGTCAAAATTGTTGGGAAGAATAAAAAATTAGTTAAAATAATCGTATTTGCATAAACATGAAGTATCCTTTTACGGCTGATAAAAATTTTCTATGCAACGGGTGTACTGCACAGTCAGATTCATTATTCAATAGAGTTTAATGGCTTTGTATGCGATATATTTGTGCTCGCTGTGACGTTATCAAGATTCACATCAAGAAAACGTATATTTTTATGTTTTGACAATAAGGAAATTATAATATTTTATAATCGTTGGTATTCTTTCTTATCTTTACTTTATCCTATGTTGCATAGAGCACTTTTTTCCTGGTCATTAATTCAAATGAAAAATTACTTTGAATTCTTTCTGAAGATTATATATTATTTGGTGACAACATTTGGTGATAACATTTGTCAAATAAGTTTTGACAATTAAGTTAGATTGTAAATTACATTAGTTTTTAATGCACTGCTTCGTTAAAAATATATAAATATTTACTTAAAATTGATCAATGTTGCAAATATAATTTTGAATTATTCACAGTAAATAATGGAATTTCATCACTGTGAAAGATTGATAAAATTGTTAAAAAAATTAATTGCTAACGAAAATGTAATGTATCTAGATGAAACTTTATTGAAAAAGTAAATATATTAAATAAGAATTAGAGTTGTTGTAAAAAAATGTAATTTTTATAATAAAATGTAATACTATTTTTTTAAATCTAGCTTTATATCTTTATAAATAAATTAAAATAATTTTTTACCATGAAATTTAGCTCGCAAATATTTATGTATTATTTTGTTTGTATTTTTCTTTAAATGTAGGTCAATCAAATCGTTTACACTTTTAAATTTCGAAAACATTTAATTTATAATCATTTTAAAAATCATAGTAGATTATAAAACATTTATTTATTATTACATTTTTTAAGCAGTCTGCAAACAAAAATCAATCAAATATCGAATTATTATTTAACATTATATAACATTAAAAACTAACTAAATCATACATTCAATACCATACTTGACCTAATACCTTATAAACAGCTGATCCAGCAGCTGCTGAAGCAGCTAGAACAACACCACCTAGAGTTGGGCTGCCTGTTATGCCATCCATATAAGCTAAAAGAGCGATACCAGTGTCACATAATATCACAGCAACAATCTGAAACACCAAAATAAATTTTTGTTCTATTTATTAAATGGCGAGAACGGGTAAGAGATTAAACTTAATAAAAATTATATATATTACTATATTTTGAATTAAGTATAAATTTTAAAATCTAAAATGATTATACAAACATTAATTTTTATATACTATGTTAACAAAATATATGGATTTATAATAAAGTCCATTGATATTAAATATTGTTAATTATTATTAAATGCATTTTAACACATTTACATAAAAAATTTCTTACACTTATTGTTATATGAATTTTTAAAAATATTTATTATTCAGAGATTTTTATCTTAATACAAATTGTATGACTTTATTCGATTTTGGATGTGTGTATATGCTAATTAAATCAATATTAATACATATTTATTTAATTTATAAAAATCATGAGTTTAAATCAATAAAAGCAGTGAAGCAATTAAGCACAGTTTCATCATCTGTTCGAAAAATTAAAACTTTAAAAAGAACTTAAAAGTCACATTATGAATACGTGCAGTTTAAATTAAAACTTTCTTTTCTTTGGCATTTCTTATCATCAACAACGTTCATAAAACTATAGACACTTCATATGAAATAAATAAATTCGTTTCAATTAAAAAAAAATGTTTACGCATTAACGAATAGTTAAGGCACAGAAGCGACAAATATGTATAAATCTAAGATGCAATTATTGATAATTTTTACCTGATTTCCACATAAATTCATACTCATTTTCAATTTATAAATGATCATGGTTTTTTTTTTATTTCATCTTCACTTTAATTTCACTTCATTAGTAACAAGAGATAATATATTCTAATTAAATAGATAGTTGGGAAAACTAGAATTACAAATGTTATTTTTATTTATTTTTTCTAATATATTTAGCAGTTGTAAAAATGAACATTATGTGATGTAAATTAATTGAATGATAATCGTTAGTAACTTGTAATAGATATTAATAAATATGTATAATTGCAAATTTATTAGTTAAATAATCGAGTTTTTGTATATTATAGTATATCAATAAAGTCTCATTATTTAATTATCAATTATATAAATAAATTATATTTATTATGCATGAAGGATGATATTGGCTTATTTAGCTTTTATGATATAAATAATATAAAATAAGATTTATTTTATATTTTATTCCTAACTTTTACTAATATGCCTTTGTTCTCTATTTTCTTTTTCATTCTTATTATTCTTATTTGTCGCTGTTTCCATTTTCTTTATAGTATACTTTCTTAAATCTTGATAAATTTTAATTATTGACTAAGTGCTTTTTTTTAGATATATTTGTATTTTATTTCTTAATTAGTCATTAGATTATATAAATTGGATTGCATTGTGTTCTAAATTCTCATTTGCCTATATATATTTTTGAGTATAACTGAATAAATATGTATCTTCTGCTCTGTGTACGAAGTCAAATATATATTTCCATACAGAAATATTAGCATATTAAACATTTAATTTGGATATTTATCTGTATTAAAATACTTTAACGGTTATCAATCATTATAAATAGAAAGTTTTATTTATATAAGTAATAATAAATTTGTTCTTTTGAAAATCCTACCACTAATATCTAATGCAACAAAATTCATTATTTCTCAAACCCTGATTTTTTACTATTCCCTTCTAAAACTGAATCAAAATTATTTATTTGCAATTTTAACATTTCTACAGGTTAATAGTAGTTTTTCATGTAAATCTTTTAAATTTTTTGTGAAGACAAAATACATTAACTTTATTTTCATTTATATAGATGAGTTATCTGTATTATACTTTACATTTTTTTAAATATTGTAATAAAATGTGTGAATAAAATATTTTCATAATTGTGAATCATCCTAGATTCAGGAATTATCTTATTTATTCATTAATCTATCCTTACTTACTTACTTCAACTGCTATAATATATGATTTCAGTTTTGCTTCAGCGAATCTTATATATATTATTACTTCTTATAACTATTAATTTTTAACTATTGAATCTCATATCTTGTATTTTTAAAATAATACTGAGTATATTGATAAGTACCGAGAATATTTTTTATAACTTTTTTTTCATTTAATTAATTTTGTGATTGGTATATTTGCTAGGCTAAGATTTGTATATAGTACTAAGATATTATAGTGTATCTGTATTTGAAATTACTTTGGTAATGATATTAATTTAAACTATTTTATCGTTACTTGATATCATATGTTATTTAAAGATTATACATTTTTTTAAGTCTGTTGCTTTATGTGCTAGCTCATTACATTCTCTCTATTTTCGTATATTTGTATTAGCAAATCTATTATATATAATCTATTATACGTTTTGTAATATTTACTTTTAATTTACAATTTTTTATTAAATTTTAATATTATTAAAATGTACTATGTTAGTTAATTCGTGAGGAAATAAAAATTGAACTATTATACCAATATGATAGTTTAATACTGATATAAATAATCCAATATTTTCTTTGTTGAATCATTCTTTTTCATCATTGTATAGAAATCTTACAACAATAATAATTTATTATTTAATTTTTTCCTCAGTATGATGAAATTCAATATCTTTGAATATATTTAGTGATTTAATTTTTTTTAATTTAAGCCCAATTAAAAGAAAATTTAATTATTTAATACTATAGTTAATGATTTTTGTATATTATTTTCGCCCTTATTGATATATACTTTGAACGTAGATTTCAATTACTTCAAGATTTCGTGTAACATTACAGAATTTTTTTTCTCAATGATATTTAGAGTCCTTTACATTTACTATACAATTTAATTAATCTATTAAACAATAATTAAAAAAATTCTTCTATTAAATATTAATATTGTTTGAGATTCAGAGAATCACAATTTATAATATGCTCAAAATTCAAACAAATGACAGCATTAGAAAGACACAATTTGGTAAGAAGCTACGAAATATGCTTCACTTGTTTAAGAGACCACACGGGTCTCTACAAAAGCTCCATATAATGCAAAAGATGCTCCAAAGAGCACCTCACTCTACTACACGAGGAAGGCAATAGAGAACTCACTAAAGCTAAAGATTTAAATTCATCATTCAGATATGAGATGATGTCGCAATAGTAAAAATACCGGTTCATTCTACAAGATCATTAATTGCCACGACCATAACCGTAATACGGTCAAAGACTAATACCGTACAAGTTCATTTTTTGATTGACACGTGCTCTGAACTTTCATTTGTCAACGAGAACCTCATCAGACAACTCTACATTCCTGGAAAAAGTACAATCCATCACATTCATGGTATCGGGGGAGCTCAACTCACTTAGACACAAGGTGTTGTGTCACTCACTCACCGCTCAATCCACTCGGAACTCCATAGTCATCATACAGACTCACATTCTTAAGACATTGACAAAAACTTTGGAAAAACTTAACATTAGCCGATCCGCAATATCTTACACCTCGATTAGTAGACATCATTCTTGGAGCAGACATGTATGGGTAGATCATCAAGCCTCGCGTCATCACCCGTTCTCCATCCATGCCAATAGCGCAAATATCCATTTTTGGATGGCTCGTGCTAGGATCTGTCAATTCCATAAGGATTTCGAACTCTACAGCACACCATACATCAAAATAGGATGACGAATATACGTTACAAGAACTACTGACGAGGTTTTGGGTTCAGGAAGAGGTAAAATCAAACAGAGATCATAAATATACACCTGGATATAAATATACCATGGAGGTATATCGTTCGGATTCCTCTAAACTCATCTACCAACCGTCTCGGTAATATATTCAACACAGCACGCCACTGCTGACAGAGTATGCCAAGGAAGTTTTCGAGAGAACATTTAATACCAACGTCAGTATCAACAATTCATGAAGGATTATGAAGATCTCAATCACATGACGAAGGCCTCTTCAGTGTCAAATCATCGAATTCAATATTATCTGCCGCCTAACGGTGTACTCAAATCAGACAGCATGATAACCAAGTTAAGAGTCGACATTATGCATACTGGACCCAATTTGAATCCAGATATATCAGACATCTTAATTTGGATCAAAAGACAAAAGCATCTATTTACCACCGACATAAAAAAATATACAGGTAGATAAGAATCCACAAGGATTACTGGGATCTTCAGAGAATCCTGTGGATAGATGAACTACAGGCAGAATTGCCATAACATTTGACAACAGTCTACGAAACAAAGGCTGCCCAATTCAGGCAGTTAGAACATTGTTTCAACTAGTAAAGGATGAGGGAAGCAGGTTCCCTCTTGCCGTGCCTTCCATCATCCATGGGAGATATAAAGTAAGCCCGAGTAATCGATACACGTCTTGGCAAGGATGGATTGACCGGAGTAGCTACACTAAAAACAGCTTCGACCACCATGGTAAAACCAATCAATAAACTGACAGTGCTACCAATCCTGAAACAAAAGGAATAATCGTGAAGTGAATTGCTGATGGTGGGCGGAATGTTTGAGATTCAGCGAATCTCTCGAATATTATCATTTTGGGGAAAAATTCCAACCGCTATCGTTTCAAGGAAAAACCTTTTCGGGGAAATGATTCAACGGTCATAACTTCTAAGAAAATTCTTCAACGATTGTTGGAGGTTTGGAAAAGCCGGTACATCTGAAATGATACAAGTGCACAATCACCTCCATTGTTTCTCGCACCACAGTTACACCTATTATTTTTAGCGCTATGACCGGCCCTTTGTTGTCAGCTAACAAAGCTGCCGCGTGGCTATTTAAGACAAGCGCACCATGAGGGGAATTAGTAGACTTTCAGTTATTGAGGCAGTCCGTCATGGCATTCACCTATGCAGACTAGTAGGCCAGCAAGCTACTCACCACGATAGAAAGAAAACACTAGCTGATACAAGACATACTCGCTGATCAGCAGCGTGCATACTAATTGTTGATCCTTGCAAAACCAGCAACAATTTATTACCATCAACAATGAGCATTCGTAATGGTGAACTACTTATTACAGGATCAGATCAAGACTACTGCATTACTGTGAGTAAACAAAGTCTGTACTTAATTATTGCCAGTCCATACATGACTAGCATGACGCTATTACAAACATAGCAAACCCATACTCTTAGGAGTATACTTAATTATTACCAGTCCTTACAATGCTAGTATGACGCTATTTTTAATAGCACAAATCACACTCACTAATAAGGAGTGTGTATAATAAGTTTCTGATCCTTATAACATCAACATTACCATCATCAAGGACCATCTCGGGTACATAAATCCCCCACCACAGGATCAGGTCCAAACAAAGGCACTTTTCTGATTACCATAGGATACACCTTTCCATCGCATAATTTTAACATATCAATGTCATTGTAAATAAACCTTAATAAATCATATTTATTCAAGAAGCACACACTGTACTCTACAGTCCTTCTATTTAACTCCTTCACAAGCACCCGCTAGGGCGGGCGGTGATTAAAAGCTATCGAAACATTGGTAGTTCGAGCTAAGAAATAAAACAGTTTCGAACAAATATAATAATAAAAATGTACATACTCGCATTTAAATTCGTAGTAATTGAGATAAAATGAATATTTTCTCTGCATAAATACAATTTTATGCTATAATAAATTTTTTATATATTTCAAAATTATTAAAATTCTTTTTTGAATAAATATATCTTTACTTTTTATATTATATAACCATATAAGCGTTTCCAAAGATTAATAAACAAATATCATCAATAACATTTATTAATTTGCTTTAATTTCTGTTTCTTATTTATGTATTGCATAAAATTATTCGTGTTATTCATATGTAAATTTGCTTATTTAATAAAATATTTTTATGAGTATTAGCGGTCATATTTACAATAGTATATATAAATTTTCCATTTTTTGTATTTTTATTTTGATAATTAATTTTAACTCTTAAAAGTCGTTAGTATAGCATAATATTTTATTTAAGTGATCATTTTTTCCCATAGTTTTGTCGATAGATGTAGGCAACCCTTTCAATAGATTCAACTTTTTATCCAACTAGTCATTAAATTTATGATTATAACCAATGCATAAACAACATTTTTATAGATAGAACTAATTTATGATTTCTTCTAAATATTTCCTCAGAATAATTCATGTGCTTAAATTAAAATTTTTAATAAAATATTGAATTAATTTTTATATTCTGAAATAGTTAGTCATACGTATATATAACAAAATTTGTTTTTAGTCTAATTAACTATTTAAATTGATATTCTAGCGAGATAAGTGTAAAAATAAATAGAAAAATATGCTATAATTTGTTTTCAGGTGAATTACGTCAATATTTAATAAAATATTTTTTATTTTAATTCATTAATATCCTTTTCCATTCGTTTATATAAAAACCTTTATTATTTATTTTATTATTATCTATTATTAAAATCATATTCGCCTTATAGACTAAAAATTCTTTTAGCAACCAATTTATTGGCAACCAAAAAATTGATATTCGCGTATTCTTAAATTACTTTTATAATAGTATATTTTTATTTAAATCTATTTTTATAAATAATGTTCTATTTAATTTGATAATAATAGTCTGTAAATCTTTTAAATTTTCAAAAATTTTGAAAGATACTTTTAAAAAACCGTAAACATGTTTTTAAATATACAAATATATTTCTTTTAAATGTACTATTATATGATTAATAATTATGCAATTATTAATTATAAATAACAATATTCCTTTATCTACCTTCAATAATATTCGATAATTGTAACGTTTCTGATGTTATTTATTAGTACACATTTAATTATACATCAAATGTTAATTGGTAACAAACCTTGTTTTCGAAAATGTTAGTTAATTATTAATACAGTACTAAAGTATTAATACAGTATGTATTCTTTGATATATTTTAAAAAATATTTTCTCCGAATTTTATTTCATTTTTTATTTTATAAAGTTTAGTTTGTTCGTAGATTACTATATTTATATGCTTGATTATATGTTTAAAAATTTTGAGATGCTTAATGCTAAAAAAATCAACAATTATTTCGAAAAATATGTTTTTATCGAGTAGTTTTTTTATTTATTTATTAATTATTTTGAAAAATTTGTTTTTACTAAGAATAAGAATTTAATAATCACTGTTAAATTTGAAGATGAAGCGTTATTTTGATATAAACGTGCTTTGATAATATTAAAAAAAAAAATTATACATACCCTTACTCCAACAAATTGTTCATGTAAAATAACCCATGATAAAAGATAAACACAGGCAACATTCGTAGCAAATAATGTCATTACATCAGTTGCCAATAATATGCGAAGTGAATGAATATACATATAATTTGTAGCAACCCAAAGTCCACAAAATAAACTACAACGAGTTAAAAAACGGCCACCACTAAGTCCTTTATCTCTAAATCCTCTTAAACTTTCAGTAATTATTTCCGATGGTGTTGAACATTTTGATTTAATAATTTGTGTTATAAAATATACTGGAAAATATAAAACTGTCCAATTGGTACAAAACCATGTTGTGAAAAATGGCGCATTATAAGAGATTGTTTGCTGGAAATACAAAGTTTTTTTATGCTTACACATTACTAGAAAAAATAAGGTTCACTATAAAAATGTGATTAAAATTAAAAAGTTTAATATTTTCACACACACACACACACACACACACACACACACACACACACACACACACACACAAATTGTACCTCATTTGTATGATATATTATATCTATGGAGTATCATATACTATCATGTACTATCTCTTCTTATATATGAAATACTATGGAACTAAAAAATCTCCAACACAAGTGTATGAATATAATTAGAATTAAACATTTACATTCTTTTGAAACATTATTAATAAATATATATAAATGCACGTTCATATATGCATGGCAATTGATTTCTATTTACTTTTAGTAAATAAGAGAGACTGACTACACTGGGGGGTACGATTTAGTATTTCCAACTAATTTCTAGTATATAATCCAGTCATGCAATGAAATGTCTTATGTGTTAATTTCTATATTAATAAAATTTACGTATAATCACATACACGTTAGAGTAATTAAATTAGTATTACATGTAAAAGTAAGTAAATTTTAATGCAATAATATAAATTTTATAAATGAACCCATACTCTTGTTCGAAACTGGTATGATTTCTGGGCTCGAACTCCCAATGTTTTGCTAATTGGAAGTTAAGAAGTGGAAGGGTTGCAGAAATCTGTAGTATGTGCAGACTCCGTTGACATATAGTTTATTAATAGCTACATTAGTAATAAACAGTATTCACTTGTCATAGAAGAGTGTAAACTTTTGTCTTGTCGCAATGATGCTGTTGCTTCTTGATGGTGACGATGTCGTGGCGTCTGCTAAAGTTCTAATTAGCAGGAATATGCGTATGTTCCCATATAGGACGTGTGGCCTGAAAGTGTATACAGTGAAAGCGTATACAATGAGAATTGCTTCTGCTAATGTTGTAAGAATTACCTTAAGACAATGCTTCTTGTAGCCGTATAGTTTCTCGTGATGTAATGTAAGCATGTATTCCTCGGGATGGCTTTATTGCGTGAGTTTAACTGAGTGACTAGTGTATGGCAGAAAGCACTAGCTGAATAGCGTAGTTGAATAGCGTTATGACTAATAACCGTTTGACTGAATAATTTACAATGAACGTCTAGGCATAGTATGCTTCTCTTAAATATTCGCGCGGCAGCTTATTTAGCTGGCAACAATGCATTGGTGTTGCTATACTGGAGTTTTACATGAGGCGCAAAACGAAAACTCCAGAAGTTTCGAGAACTCCGAGAAAAACAAGGCTTAAGAAATTTAGAGAATTCTAAACGACGTTACTATGCGAAGACCATATAAACATTGTAGAGCATTTGAAAAATTCAAAAATTCTTGTACCGAAATGTTTACAGAAACTAGAGAGCTAGAGGGACTAGCGATTCCGAGAGCCAACGGTCTTGGAAATTGCTTCAATCCCTAACAACTCAACATAATATAATTATCGATCAAACTCTGAAATTATGTACATGTCAAAGGAGAATCAGTTTAGGTATTCAATAGTTCATTAAAAAGGGCTTATTTCCACTTGTATAATGAAGTAGAAAATGCACAGCGTAATAATTTATGATAAATACAAATTTAAGATTATAGTCTAATAATTATCATTATTTTGTACTTCTTTCTCTCAAAGATCCATTTTAATATTCTTTTCTTGAGTGTATCTTTTAACTGTTTTAATCATCTTTTATTGCGTTCTCTAATTTCTGAAAATAAATGTACTACACAAGCAATTATTCTGAATGCGTTATTCGGTACATTATTTCAAACTTGTGAATGTGATTGAATTATATCCATCGAAAATTAGTAAGTGTATATCAATTAAACCTGTTGTAAGTAAATTGGTTGTGTTCATTAGTATTTATGACTAAGAATAATGACATAAAGTGCTTTTCTAGATTAAAAATAATTTGAGATTGTAAATAGTAAGCACTAATAATTGTTAATAAATCATCTTGATTCAAATAGTGTTGCATTATTTTATGAACTTTTATGAATTTTTATGAACTGTTATAAATTTAATTTAGAACTAAAAATTCCTTTAACGAACCCTAAAATCTCGAGTAATCAAGTATTAGCAGATTATTAGAATATTTATAGTATATAACATACTATGTGAATCATAATAATTAATATTAATAAATAGAAATGTTGATTTATTTAAAATTTAACGTAAATATGTTACGTAAAATTTGTAGTTGTATTAGTTTTATTTTTATAACAATGTGAATATAATATAATATTATTGTTGCGAAATTGATTTTTATACTCAGATTATAGTTAAATAAAATGCTGATAAATTTGTAATATTTAAATTTATCTTATGTTAATACTACGAAAGGTTCCCATATATGTTAAGCATTTTTTAAATTTATATATATATAATAAAATTTAAAAAAAAACCTGTATTTTATGGAGTTCTATAATGTTCCCTAACTTATGTATAATGATTTTAATACAATATATGATATATTTTTATTTTAATAGTATAATTAGTGAACCTACCAATTCAATTTATCCTAATATAAATTATTTTATATTCTTAATCTAGTTAATATAAATGAATTCAAGTGTTCTTACAGGAGACTAAATAAAGTAGTTTTTATGTCATCTAATACATTTTTTCATCGTTTGCTTATATCATCATATCATCATATTTTTAAATTATGGATGTAATAAAATATATTGAGTTAATTGTTTGTTTTGCCATTAACACATAGTACCATCGAAAAGGTAAAATATCAAATAAACTTTTAATCAATGTATTCTGAATTAAGTTTGTTAAAAATACTGGATAAAATATAGTCAAAAATAAAAGTACAATATTATCATTAGATTAAAGTCGATAATCAACGTCAGAGAATATAGATCTTAGAAGTTGCAAATTAATATCATACGAATAAAATTACATAAAAAGCAAATGTTAATGTAAAAATCAGATATTATAATACTACAATTATGTTAATTATTTTTAAGTACATATTCAATGTATATCTTTTAATACTATTACTGGATAAAATATACAAAATTATGAAAGGTTTAATTTGCATGAAGTTCTGTGATTTATTTTATAAATTTAAAAAAGTGTAGTTACCTTTTTAAACTGTTGATCTGAATAGGTAGAATTGTAAATAGCACTTGAATTAATAATTATAGTTTCTTTTTGAAAATAAAGGAACTTGATAGAATGAGTGGCACCAACCCAACTAGCAGTAACAAAAATCGTGACACAAACGCCAAAGTAAATCTATAATAATTATTAGATAATTATTTTCAATGTTAATATATTATAATGCGTTAAATTGCAAGAAATGTACAAATTTCTATTTACTACTAATAAGTTTTTTATATATTTTCTATATGAATATAGTAGTATCATAAAAGTTACGATAGTATCTAGAATTAAGATCGACACATTATTTTTTGACAGTTCACATTCAAATTTAAAATAAGCACCAATTAAATTATATACAAGATAGTCTTAGTTATATAGTTAATATTTATTGAACATAAGTGTAATTAATTTTTAACCTTAGGTCACCATTAGAGGAAAATAATAATTTGTCTTTTCTTAATTCGTTTTTCGAATTTGAAGTAATTAAGACAAAGAGAGTAGGAAGTTCTTTTCCAAACGTATCTATTATAAAAGTGTTTTAGTATTAGTTCATAATTCAAGTGATATAGTTCAGAGAATTTGGTATGAGAGATAGTAATAGATTTATATATCTAAGTATATTATCATAAAGCAATTTAACATATGATAGTATATATTTCATGTCAAATAGTTTCTAAGTCCAATAGTCGCATTCTTAATACTTAATGTTGTTTGCTGCGATCTGGGTAATTAATTTTGAACCAATATAATATTGATATTCAACTATAAAAGAAATCAAGTTTGTCTTGTATTATAGATGTTTAATTACAGTGAGCTAAGAAAAAAGATGAATGTAGATTTGGCTAGATTCTCAGCTGTCGCACATTATTTTTCTCTATGGATATAAGCGTTTCTTTGATAATGTTCTTTTTTGTTCAACTAATATTGCCGTCCCTGCCAATGTTGCATTTAGTAATACTACTTTAGTACTCCATCCATCAAGGAGTTGATACTTGTTGACTGTTTCATAATTTATTAACAAAGCAGTATATAAACTTACTTTAATACGAATTAATATGAAAATTATTTTACACATAACAAGTTCAAATCTGGTTTTATTAATAAATGAGACGTTCATATGATCTTTCTAAATTAATTTTTTCCAAAACTAATAAGATCTTTAGTAAATAATTAGTTATCTAATTACAATCATAAAATTGCCTTTACTAGATTACCATTTAAGTGGTAGAGACTCACAGATAAGTAACTCTAATTCGTTTTAATTCATTTTATTACAAATTAAAAGTTATTCTAAATTCAAATATGTAAATGAAGTATAAATAATAAGTATAAATTTATTTTGGAACAATTTGAAACGAAGTTATTGCAAGTGTTCATATTTTGTGAAATTACGTACTTTCCTTTTTAAGAAAAAAGTTATTTTAATATTTATTTTAATTATTTTAATTTATTTCAATATTTTCTCCATTCCTATACAACGAAATAGTAAATATAATAAAAATAATATTTTTATTATATAAACAATTAGGAAGAATTTTGTTTTTAAAACGTTTAAACAAAATTTTACGTATTTTAAGTATTATAATTATGACTATATCAAATTATTTAAAAAAATTTTATATTCCCAGCTTTATGCTGATATAATAATGTCAAGAAAACACATTGATCACGTATTTTCTAAACAAAATTTATTAAAAATAATAAATGTTTTAAAATAAGATATAATATAAACTATAAACAATAGCATTATATAAGCTTTTTAGAGTTTTTAATAAATTATAATTTTATTCTTATTTTATCAGATATTTAAAATTTATAACATCATTAAATGTATAAAGTAATTATTATCAATCGTGCTAATTTAATAAAATTAGAAAAAGGTGAAAAATGTATTAATTTTTTTAATTATTAACTTACAAACACTTTGTGACTGTTGTCTATAATAATAAAAATATTCTATCAATCATAGATGGACAATTACATTTAAACCTGTTAGTTCTATTAAAATGATCTTGGACATTTTAGATACTTTGATTAATAAATTTATTCTTTAGGTATTCATATAAAATTTATCACTGTAAAATTTGCAATGGTTAACAAGTTTATTTTAAAATATTACTTATTAATTTTGAATTATTTATGTTATATTAGAACAGAAATTTTTTATGGAAAAAATAAATTTTTTTTATTCATCTAGTTTTATGTAGTAAGTATTTAAATAAAAATGATATAGACATTGCAATAAGTGGCAGAATTTAAAATTCTCATAAATATTGAAGTTTGATAAAATATAATAGTATATAAAAACATAATATTAGTATTTTTAAGCAATATCGTCAGAGGTTTAATTATTTAAATTTAACATAAAAATTTGGTATATTTTAGATTAGATTAGTACTTCTGTTTGACAAACAATTAAGAATTTGTAGCAATAGTTATTTTATATGACCAGTTTGTTTAATTTATTGCATCTTACAAAAAATTGCCTATGTTTGTTTCTTATGTGTATGGATTCAAAGTTTTTTCTTATAGGCTATTTTTAGTATGAATTAACAATTTTCATATTATTTTTGTCTGTAAGTAATCAACTGATATTCATTGATCACTATACTATCCGTTACCTAGATAAATGTTAGTTCTTAAATCTTCAACCCAAATATTAATAATAATTATTAGTATAGTTCTTGGAAAAATATAAAAAAAAAAAAATTTATAAGTTATTAATTTTAATAATATTATGACAGATGTTGAAAATGATATATCACTAAAATTTTGTATAGTTATACTTGATTTTAGTTTTTTGCTAAACTGTTAAATGTATATTCTAAGTTTATAACTAGATTTACTGCTACATAATTCTTTAAGAAATATATGAATTATTAAAAACTGATATTGCTATTTCTTTATTTGTTCTTTTTTTCTTTAATATTGTCATCACATTTTCTCATTTTTTATTTATAAAAATTATTATAATAATAAATATTTTATATTACTATTTTATCTCAATATACTTTTGATATTAAAAGTATAAAATGAAAGTTCATCCATTATATTACAATTTTATTACATTTATAAAAAGTTTCAAATTTAATAATTATTCTATATTCTTGAGAAACATAAATATTTTCTATAGTACAAATACTTAATTAATTTTCATCCAAGCATTTAATGAATTATCTTAGTAATAATTTTTATTATATATGTACAAAATAATGTATTTTACATTACACATAATTATTTTTCTTAGGGAAATTTAAAATAACAAAACTTAATGTTTTTGTATTTGACCATTGTACTTATACTAGCTTTTAAAAAAACTTAAAGTATAATAAATATTTAAAATATTTTTCCTATCTTTTGAATTTTTTAAAAAAATTTATTTTGTAAAAAAATATTGACCTAATCTCATCTATAATGCTCATTTGATTTAGTATACTGAGTACTTAATTTGTATTTATGATACAATGTTAATAAAATCAATACAGCATATATACTAGTAATTTCTTTAAAGAATCAAAATTATGTTTTTTACAAATTTGATAATCCAGTCAGCCAGTATGGGATACAATTCCTCTGACAGTATTGGAAATAAAGAAGTAAATATGGTTGTATATGATGTCCATTCTATAATCTTGAATATTGCTCTTGTGCTTCAATAAATATAGATGCCTAAAAATATAAGGATGATGTCAATAAATTAGTGCATGAGTTTTACATAATCTTTATTTAATCCTGAATAGAAAAGACATGATTACATATATTAGTTCATCACAATGAATTATATAGCTAGCTGCAAAGCCCATCCAAAATTAAACTGAAATTATGTTTTTGCTAATAAAGTCTTGATTGTATTTAATGAATATAATTATTAATATATATATATTAAATTATCTAATAATACAATTATTGAAATTTTTAAAGAAGTTCATATAACCATTGCCTTATATACATGCATAATGGTTAGGTAACATAGGAAGAACTATGTTCCTTGATTTTAAAATTAACACCTATTCTTAATAACGTTAGATAACTATAAGAGAATTGAAGTGTTATTAAAAAATGAAATATAAAATAGTTTAAAGGTTTTTATTAAAGTTAAATCGATTATATAAAATATTTTTCAAAAGTTATTTTTTCCAAATATATTTGGCACAAAAATTTGAAATGGTATTTATGCAAAAATTTTTAATAATATATTTGTCACAATTAATTACGTTTACATTATAACTTCAGTTCATTGATTTTATAACAATAACATAATAAATTTTGAAAGAATATTAATATAGAATCAGTAACATTTTAAAATAAATATTAAAATTGTACACATTATGAAATTATCACATTTTACAAATTTCATTATGTAATCTAAATAAATATACATCTATAGCAAAATATATAATTTTTATACAATTATATATCGATATTTTTATATTTATAATTTATTAAATATTGTTTTAATTGTATCCAAAAAATTTTCTTGATTTAAATAGAGTATAAGACGAAGTGTTCTTATTGTCTAATATATTATTATTTAATAAAATTCACTTTTACCTTTTTGGCTAATGCTGCACAACAAGATTGATAAAAAGTTGAAAGAGATCCTCGATATGAGTAAGAATTATTAGAATGAGTTCTGAATTGAAATATTGGTTGATTTTGTGATGGACATTGATTAGTATTTATTCCACAACCTATTACAGCTGTATTTGTAACATTATTAATTGCATTTCCAGGAACAGAGCTATTAATTGAATCTGATGTTCTGCAATTGTTGATGCACTCTGAAGTAAGATTACAATAATGTGGATCATCTAAACACAAAATTTATTGTCAGTAAATTCTAATATTAACAAAAAATAATTTTTAAACATAGTTATATGAAATAAAATTATTATATATACTGATTTTTAATTAGTAACAAATTTAGATTAATAAAATATTTTGAAAACTTTGGGGTAACTAATTGTATAATGATAATAAATAATGTTAAATATAATATAATATATTATTATATAATGTTCTATATGAATAATTTCCATGATTATAAAAATAAGAATATAATTAAATGAATTCTTTTTAATAAAATAATAAATAAATTTTTTAATAATATTTATAAAAAAATTTTAATAAAGAAAATACACAATTTATATTTATTATTTATATCATATACGTTTATAGGTAAGAATTTAGAAAAACTAATTTACTGTTCATAAATGATATACCTGTTTTTTGTGTAGTATCTATTTCATTATTTTGTTGTTCATCGCAATGCGTTAACACAGATGGTCGGCATTTTTTAGGATGAAAAATTGTCGATACTTCGTTTGAATTTGAGTTTTTCATAGCACTATGAATTAATTTACAAATGAATAATTCTTAAAAATTATTAAGATCTTCATGAAGTCAAACTATGTTTTACATTTAAGGTTTATTTTTAATAATATTTATAAATATATTTGTATTTATATGAATAATTAAGAATTGTAAACATGTTTAAATTTTACAACATTGCTAAATATTGATATTAATTACAAATATGTAAATATTTTCCATGTCAGTATAAAATATTAAATATATTGGTTGATTTTACAAGTTATATACAAATTTATACATTACAAAGTCTTTTTACTAATCATTGATTATTGCTGCACTATACTTAGAAGGAATAGTTACACAGTTGCTTATTGCGCATGTGTTACTGCAGGTATTGCCGACAAGCGAATTAAATTAATAATAACAATAATATTATGTCGAGAATTCATTTATTCAGACAGCGATTAATTATTTCTAAAATTTGAAAATGAATAAAATAATACATATACTAAATATAGTTTTACTTTATAACCAACCGCATTCAAATTTTAATTGTAATACAAATCTAATTAAAATCCTAATTATTTTTTATAAATAATATTCTTTGATAAATTAATATTAGTTTTTTTAAGTTCATTTAAATTTAAACGATTAATTATATTCAAATTATTAAATAATTTACATTTAATCTATACTAAATGTAAATTAACAAAAGCTTTGATGTTTAAAATGTCATTTATTGTGTTAGATTAAAAAATTAAAATTATTTTATCTTTATCGATCTGGTATTTATGGAAAATAATTGTTCGACGATAATTCTTTATAATGTATTCGATTTTCATTTTTAAGTAGTTATAAGTTAACATTTTTATAAGTAATTACATTTTTTTCTATTCTTTTTATTTTTGTAAAAATATTGAAATTTCTCAGATGGTGCAACAGGAAATATAAGTAATGAAAGCGACCATAGTTTTAAAATATGTATAGCACGTATAGAAAAACATTGGTATACATTATGTAACTTTAAGAAAGAATTCTCATCACTTTCACAGATGAAAGAAAAATTATAGATCATATTTTATAGTCATTATTTATTCGGAAATTATTTCTGCACGTACAATACCGAATATAATTTCACCACTTTATATCTTAATTAATCAATGTTAATGATAAAGTTATTAAAGCATTTAAAAAAATATGCAGATTTAATTACTACTAATTTATAAAAAATATATTTAAGAATTGAATCATATAATAAAAAAGTAATAAACTCATTTATATAATGGTTAATCTAACATTTATCTACATCTTTATTCGATAAAATAGTCTTACCAATTTTGTTTAATGAATGACATTTGTAATTTTAGTACTAAATAGTTTATTCGTTATTGTTCGGAATTAGTATTGGAATATTTTCCGCATAGTAACGTCGGTTGGAATTCTCCAACCTTCTAAAGCTTTGCTATCCTGAAGTTCTCGAAAGTTCTAAAGCTTTAGTTTCGCACATATGCATTATTGCCAGCTAAGTAAACTACCGCGCGGATATTTAAAGGAAGCACATAACGCTATGGCGCTACGACTAGAAGATAGACAATCTGTAACGCTAAAACAGTGAAGTCATTATAAGTAATACACGTTTAATTCTCAAGTGCACAACAATTAACAAGCAGTCTAGGGTGCTGACTGCATTACAAGAACGAGCACGACTACAAGAAGCGCAATATCAAGGCAATCATCACAAGATCAGCCAAGGCAACTGTGCCACTAACAATCTAATACAGAAGTAACAAAAGGCCAACAAAACCTTTCCAATAATAGTGCGTCTAGTACAAGGCCAACAAGGCCCTTCCGAGAGTGCGTCTAGCACAAGACCAACAAGGCCCTTCCAGCAGCACGTCTAGCACAAGGCCAACAAGGCTCTTCCAATAAGGAGACACAACAAATTACCATCACGTGATACTATACGAAAAAGTGTCAAGAGATTTACAACCTCCTATCTCTGCATGCAGTGCATACTAACGCCACGTGGCAACCACCATGGAACTGCAAGATTCAACGATTCTCATCACCAATTTAGAACCATTATTGTGTAGTTTATAAAGTTAAACGCAATAAATAGCAGGAAAAGCAAATCTATGTAATTATTGAACAAATGCGCTATCCCTTCCACTTTTTTCCCACTAGGAAACTGGTGGCCATAGTCTAACCCAATCATCTTGGTCCTTCGATTCTAAACAGGAATTCTAAACAGTTATATACAAAAATATGTATCAATTGTATCAAAACAATCTAGAAATATAAAAAGATGACATTATAAATGAAAACAAAATTTGTTTAAATATAACATAATTTATATAAACGATATTAACAAAATTATTATAAGTACAATTATTTACACGTAGAAAGAATTTTCAAATTATCAGTAAAAGTTTTGAAAACATTTATATTTATTTTAAAATGTTATTGCAAATAAGTAAACAAATCGGATTTTTATATTTAAATACCCTTCGCGTTAAATTACCATCTAATATATCATGAACTTGTCATTTAACTTACAATAAACTTTTTATAATTTAAGATATTAAATAATATAAAGTAATATATTTATAATTATTTGTTTTATTCTTATATTTATATATAATTGTTATAAAAAGTAATAAATATCCTATATATCAATCTATAAAACTAACTTTTAGAAAGAATTTAATAATAAAGATATATAAAGCAATTTTTCGGTTACATTTAATTGTATTATAAATCAATGAACTAATAAAAAAATTATCACAGAAAATAGATATAAATATAAGAATGATATATTCCACTAAATTCGACTATTATGTGTGTACATAATGTTTTTAATATATATTTCAAATAATTATGTATGTTAATATATATAATGATATATAGTAATTTTTCTTAAGTAACTAAAACGTCTATCAGTTAGAAAGTTCAACTGGAAAAATTGATGTTGTACAAGCAATGAAATAAAAAGGAAAGAAAATAATTAAATCAGCCATAACTTGAAGCCGATTATAAAACTAAATATAAATTATAAAAATATATTTAGTTTTAAAATTAAGTTACATATATGCAAAAGAGAAAGTTAAAAAGAAATAGGAAAATAGGAAAAAATAGAAAAAATAAGTAGAAAAACGAGAATGGAAAGTGGCAAGAAAGTAAAAAGAAAAAAGTTTGAAGCATAAATAGAAGCAAAAAGAAAAAAAGGAAAAGAAAATTTTTTAAATAATATTTTTATAATAAATCATGTAACATTTATTTATAGCTTATACATATATCTTTTTGGACTTTTTATAACAGCTTTTATGTATAAACAGAAATATCCGTGAATAGTTAATGTATGTAACCACCGTAATTCTTACTTTCTTTGTTTGATTTGTTTCTTTTAGGTTGATACTTTTCCGGTTTTTAATTTATAAATTCTTTATATCAACATTGTAATTTCCTTAGAAGTTATTAATTGATTACCTATTTAATGGATAACTGTTTCTTTTGTTAAATCGAGTAATTGCGTTAATCACTTGCTTATATTATTATTTTTAGCATTTTTCTAATCTATACTCACGAATTATAAAATCCCTTAATTAAATTAATGTATCAAAATAATAAATTTTAGATTTTTGAAACAATTTATATACGAATTATATGTTTTATTACATATATATTTACACACCATATATTATCATACATGTTATCATAATTTTTCAAGAGTTATATTAATTCACTATATCCGGCTCGAAGGACTAATTGTTAAATAGTTTATTAAATTTGCTGCACTCCTTAGTGGATGGTTGAATATTGATGTCGATTACATTTATCAATTACATTATTGATGGGTTGGGTTTACTTCTTATAGGAGAGTGTATCTATGCTATGTTCCATCACAGTCATGCAGTTACATTAACCCGATCCTGTGATGAATAGTTCACCATCGCGAGAGGCTCCGTGATAATGGTGACGATGCTGTTACTCATCTTGTAAGGATTAGCCATACACTGTCCGTGATAAGGAATAATTCGATACTATGTTTCTTTATATCTAATATTTTCTTAAAGTGGGAGAGATGATGTTACTGAGTTGTTGATTATTCCTTCCTACACTTTTTACTGCCGGTTAACGTTGATGAATACACATAGGAGAATGACGCGTGTTGCTTTCATAACGGCCTCACTAAGAGAGAGCTTTTGGCTCGACTCGTGATCGCACTAAAAATCCACGCGACAGCTTAGTTAGAGCTGACAGTAATGGATGCGGTTGTGTTACTAGATAGACACTAGATAAAGATTGTAGAAATTCCGAGAACTATAACTCCGAGCTTTAGGAATTCTGAAAACCAGAAGACTTGGAAAATTTCGAAAATCGTAAGGCTTATAGAATTCCGAGAACGAGAAGACTTGGGAAATTCCTGGAATCCCGAACAGATATGATAATTGTATACATATCAAAAAATAATAACAAGTTCAAAAGGAAAATAAAAAACATCGAATATAATATTGATAAGAATATAAGGATACACAGATATGTAAATTAAAACAATCAAGATAATATGTGGTAGTATCACAATGATAATAATCGTAAATATTACAGAATAAAATTTATTATATGTACATCTAATTAGATTATATATTTGTCAAAAATGGAGAGTAAAAAATGAATGAATAAAAATGAATAAAAACAGATGTGATAGCTTTTTCATTTAGAAAAGTGATTTAGAAGTTTAGAAGTTTAACAATCGCTTTTGCCCACTTGCTGCAATATACCATATATGAAATAGTATATTATTGTATATTAATGTGATACACGTGTAAATTAGTTAATCAGTACATAATCGAAACTGTTAAAAATTCTTTTCATATCATCATATTATATGATAATCATAGAGTGATATTGTTCAGTATTTTATTTTATTTATCAATTATAAAAAATAATCTTAATTATTGATCTTATATAATAATATAATAATTGATCTTTTAAATTCTGTATGGCAATGTTAACATATTTATTAATGTTATTAACATTAACATTCATATTTAAATGACTTATTCCAATAACATTATTTTGTTGTTTATAAAATGTTTAATATTTTTTGTTTATGAAACAATTCTGCCTAAACCAAAAAAAAACTAAACAATAAAAAAATACTAATACATCAATTGGATGAATAACATTTTACAATTTGTAACAATTATTTTTTATACAACCTTTATAGAAAATTACTCAAAGTAAAATTAAAATTTTAAAAGTTAAAAAAATCTATTTAATATATAAAAATATGATTATGTAGCTTTATAAATATGTGTGCATGTGTGTATGTGTTTGTGTATTGAATTTGTTTAATAAATTTAATTATAAATAAATATTATATACAGAGTTACTTCAATTTGCTCTTATTGTTTAATAATTTATTTAAAAAAAAATTAATTTTTTTATTAAAATAATTACTTGCTTTCTTAAAGTTTTGCGCAGAAGCAAACTAATCATTGGCTACTCTTGTAAATATATATAGTGTAAGTATATGAAGTGACAGTACAACAGGATTAGATCAATAAAAATTAGAATGTTAGAATTAATCGTGGAATAAATAGATGTATAGTATTCAACAAAATACATGTTTTTAATTTATAAAAATGACCTTTACAATAAAATTCGATATGTAAACAGTTGATGACATACCTTTCGTAATAAAAAATATAGAAAAATTCTATTTTTAATTTCTATGATGTTACTGTGGGTTGGTGGCAAATCAAAAACAATAATTATTGGAGTTTGTTTTTACTTAGCACAAGAACATTATTGTGTATATGATACAAAATATATTCAGCAAATAATAAAAATTAATAAACTAAATGCTATTAAAAATTCAATTTAACAAAATCAGGATATTAGTTTTGAGAAAAAAGGTAATTCAAGTTCAATATAAATAATCTACATATTTTTAATAATTCAAAAATGAAAAATATTTTTGTCTTAGATTTTGGCATAAGAATTTTAAATACACTATATGCCCTCATGCATAATATAAATATCAAGAATTAGTACAAAAATAGGAAAATTTATAATTTGATCTAAAAATATCAATAAAGGTTATACATCATCATTTTATAACATCTGTTTAAACAAGTATATTGAAGTTATTAATGTTGTTACTTTTACTTTCTTTATATATTAATTTAAGTAATTTAAATCAAGTTTATGATTGAAAATAATCATTTAATAAGAAATTTTTTTATAATATTATGGTGGCTTTTAATTGGTTAATTTTTAAAATTATTTTTATGATTTGATAATAGAAATATTTTATAACTTTGATATAAAATGTATATATATCTAACACTAAATAGATGATATACTAATATAATAGATTACCTAGTCCATTCTAGAAAGTGTAAATACAAATAGGGAAATGGAGTTTCAATAGTAAATCATTCTGTTTGTAACTCTTATTATAACAATGATCATGTATCTATGTATAATTATTAATTATATATATATATCTTCATTAAAGGATTGTATAATAATGAACATTACATAAACCATAACTTCAAAACAATATTATAATTTACTTTTAAAAAAGTTTTGATAAAATATGACCTTCATTATAGGAATATTATACATTCAGTTTTAAATAATATTTGACATATTGTAAAATTATACAAAAACTGATACATTTTTAATGAAAAACTTTAATTATTTGCTTGAAAACAATAAAGTAAAAATTTAATATAGACAAAAAATGAAGATTTAAAGTTAATGATATAATATGCTAACCTAAAAATGTATAAAAGAAATTTTAAATTGTCAATAATGGTTATTGAAAATTTTGTTTTAAATTAATTGCATTCTATAAATTTGCTTAATAAATTCATATTAGAGTAATCTGAAATAGAAATAATTTATGTTTTCGTAAGTCTTTATATCCAAGAAGAATCTTAAGCAACTGCAATAGAATTGGTGATATACTATCTAGTAACCTTAAAGTAATAAAAGTTGATTTCAATAGTCCTCGACTTTTTGACAGAGTAATTTATACAAAGGGTATAAAAGATATTTTAACACGCGACATGTTGCTATGGTTATCTTAATCAACCCGATGAGTAACTCAACCACGATGAGTATTTTTATTGAAAAGATTTCAGCATGTCAGTTTTTCATTAAATTTACGGAATCTTTTACATCGAGAATACATGTTCCATTATTCGACGGAGAATTTAAATTAAATATTGCCGTTATTAATGTTATAATTCTTACTTATTAACTCAACAATTTGAACCTTAAAAGCGAAATTATTACTTTATTATTTGTCTAAATTGTTATGCTTTATAAGGGTTTACATTGTAGATTTTTTTATAAAAAGAACACTCAAATCAAAATTATGTAAAATTAAAATATTTAAATAAAACGAAAAGGCATCAATAAAGATAAAAGATCGAATAAATATTAGTTTAAAAAAGATAATATTCTTGCATGTAGTACCTTTGGAATCGTGATTAATTACATAAATAATAGTTCATTCGTAATAATTAACAGGAAAAAAAAATTTATGTATATCGTGATTAATTCAAGTATGATTAGTAAAAAAAAAACAAAGATTCGTATTACCTTGAATCTAGTATTAAAATAAGGAATCAATGTTAAATTAAATATGAAGTTTTACATAAAAGAGGATGGACAATTGATATTTGGTTAACGATGGTCCTCTCGATAATGTACTTGTAAATAAATGAGGAATAAAGAGAAGTAAATAATTATTTTACGACTAAGTTTTCGTTGCAAATATCTAATTCATAAAGAGAAGCGAGATAAGGGAAATAAACTATGATTGGTAAAATTTCAAGTTCAAAAATGAAACAGAAAATCAAAAAAATATAGATATGACAATTCTAATAATTAACAAATTTTAAGTAGACTGAAATGCTATTTAATCAAAATACTAACTATTTTTAACTTTTAACTCATTGAATAAATTAAATGATAAAATGTGTATTCTAAAATATATCAATCGTCAGAAAATTTAGAGGTTCAGACATATTGAAAAATTCTCATATAATTAGAAGCTTATTAAATATTAATTATTATAGTTTTGGTTCCAAACATCCAACATAATTGTTTAAATCTAAACAAGTTAAAATTATTATTATGGCGTTAGCAAATATTTCATTGAGCAAGTGAATATAAAATTAGAAATTAGTGCAGAAAAAAATATGAGACTTACCGTAAACTCCGTTAATATATAATTTTTACGAAACATTCATATTTTTCAAAATTATATTAATATGCAAAATTCGATATAAACTTGATAAATTGCTACCATTGTAATTCAAATAAATATATTGATATTTTATTACGAATTTATACTAACCTAAAGGTCTAATTTCTATTTGTAGTCTTTGTTGTTATGCCAAGTTCTGCTAATTGCTTTTCTGCATTGCAATGATTTTTTACCAGAATAAAGTTCTGCTAATTGCTTTTCTGCATTGCAATGATTTTTTACCAATTACCCACCTGACATCGTCGACATAAAATATAATGCTTGCCAGAAGCATTTTTTAAATTTTATATTTATTTATCAAATAAAATTAGAAAGTATATAATGAAATATAAAAGCGTATAATTTTTTGCTTAAAATTGTATGAAATAATAGTGAGCATATTTATTTCGTTAAAAAATCATTAGAATGAGTAACAAGTATTAACAAAATAAAATGTGAAGTAAATTTTCAATTATCAACATTTTTCTTAATATTATTTAGAATTGCAATATTACTTTTTATTTAGATATAGTATAATTTTTTTTTAATTTAACAAAAAAAAATTGGGTATTTTAGATGTTATACAAATTAAAATTTTGTTAAGAAAATGACATTTAAAACAATAAATATTGTTATTTTCATTGTGTGCGTATATAAATTTTCAGTATTAGATTTAATTTTTAATATTAGATATTATTTATGTGATCTAAATATTGGTTTAATTAAAATTAGTATTATCTCATATGACAAGTATACAAACATATTTTAAATAATTTTTTATCAATATCTACATTGAATCTCTAAAATAAATTATATTTACAGATGTAAAAAGTAAATACGATAATAAATATTATTTCATAGAAGATTGTAGGAATAACAGAAATAATTCCGATTTTTAACGAAAGAAAGTAATCAATTATGTGATATTTTGTTAATGAAGTGCTTTAAAAAAAATATATAACTTTAAATAATTAATATTAATTTATTCTTTTTGAATTGCGATAAACCAGTCGAGTACTTTTTATACGATATAGATATTTATGATTCTTAAATACTTCCTTTATTGATGAATATTTTTAAGTTATCGGAGAAGTCAATAAATAATGCTGATTTCTGAAATTATTTTTTTCAAGGAAAATAATACATATTTTCATTGTTTATATTTTTATAATATAATTTTAATTTACAATACTTTTTTAATATTTGTAATCATTGTGTATGCATACGTCCAAACGTATGTATTTATCATTTAACTAATTCCAGATTCACATATGGAAAATAAGTCACATGCTGACCATAGCAATGTCTCCAACTTGTCAGAAAGTAATTGTCAGAACGTACGAAAGTTGATACCTGTGGATTTCGAATTTAAGGTTGAATGAACAAGTTATTTATATTAATGAGTATAAATATAAATTTTTTGATATTTTTAAATAAATATAAAATTACTAATTTTATTTAGTTAGATGATGACGAAGAGAGTAATGAATATGATGATGTAAATACTATGTTGGAACATAGTAATTTAGATGAAGAGATAAAAAGAAAAAAATATTATACTTCTACTAGACAAACAAGTAATTAATATATGTATAAAAAAGATAATATTTTACTAGGTCAAAGACTATTGGTAAAGGAATTCGATTAGGCAAAAATAAATATCACTAACTTTTTAATATTTAATTTAAATATAAGAAGTTTTACTTGGTATAATTTTTATAAAGATTGCTATGTGCATTTTTACATTTAGCAAAATTTAAATACTTTAAAACATCAGTTAATTATTATAAATGTTATTTTTTTAAAAATGCACATCTTTTAATATTGCAAAAGATGTATGTTTAGATTAATATATCAGTATTCTGCGTTTTCTATTACTATTTCTCATATCTGTATTGTATGCAGATATATTCTTATACAGTTCGATTTATACATACTATAAAGACTGAAAAATAAAGAAGCAAGCGTAATAATTATGTTCTTAATGCAAAGATAATTTTAGTTTCTGTATACAAGAATTCTTCACATTTGTAGTCTATCGATAGCCATTGTAATAACGAGCCTAAATCTTTCATTTATTCTGTAATCATAGAGAGCTCTTGTGATGCCTACTCTTGAAGTTTAGAAATCGCTTGAATGCAGTTATATATGGATGACATTTTTTATTTTAGTTTATCACATATTTATACCTTTCAAGGTATATCTATATAGACTTCTTTTTCAATTTAAGTTATAAATTTTTAGTTATAAAACAGATAAGGATTAGGTATTCAAATTGTATTAAAATTTGACAAAGAAAGAATGGTTTAATTTATATGCTTAATTAATTTCAGTAATAAGAGAGAATTGTAGTGTGAACCTAGACTTGTAAAACATTTCTAACTATACTTATTTAAAAAAGTCCATTTTGTTTAGGTTCAAATATCTTTCTGACTACTATTTTTTATATTAACTTTCATAATCATAAGAATTTTAAGAAACTTAATATTTGAGTAGTCTAAGATATTTCTTACAACTCCATTGTTCTTGAATATACCTTATTTGTATAATATCTAATCATTCTGAGTTGTATTGCACTCTTGTTGATCCTTGAGATTTTTATTAATGAAATTGCGATAGAAATAAAATAAAATTATATGAACAATTATCACAATATTATCACAGTTATTTTCTTTTTATTTTAATTCCCTTTCTTTATCTCAGATCTTCTAAATTTAATATGTTGTTTGCGATTATGTGAACGTCAAACGTAGAATCATAAATATGGAATTTGCATATCTATAATCGATATTGATTATGACCGTCAGTGTGAATCATGTAAATATTTTTATATTCATTAATAATTAAAAATTTGGCAGTATTATGTAAATTATTATAAGTTTTTACCTGTTTTTTGCCACCTTTTTGTTATAATTTATCAATCTTTTTCATATTCAGTATTTAAAATTCAATTTAAATTATTAATAGAAATTGTTACTTTAGAAAACCGAACTAAAATAATTTATCTTTTTAAAATCTCTCATTTATGGTATACATTAATATGATTACTTTGGGTAAGAGTAGTTGTTTATAAATTTAAGTTGTAATTTCCGTATAGTCTTTCAGAAAAATTTTATTGGTTCATATAAAGAAAATCTTTATTACACTATATAAACAATTTCTAGTTGATAAGAAATAATTTTTAATCAGGAAGTAAAAGATTTATTTTTTCATAATCAATATCTTATATTTAATTGACTCATATATACATGTTCAATTCATGCGGATATTATTTTTTAATTTATTTTATGTTATAGCGTACGATGTAGCAACGCAATGTTCTAGTAAAGAAGTATCTGCTAATAAATATAAAATAAATAAAAGTGTGTTACCATCTGTATTACCCACCAATATTTACACGACATATTCAAAACTTGAAAAACATAGTAAACTCGAAAGTACATCTCAAAAAACAGACTATGACTTCAAACAATCACATGAATTTGATTCAAAAATTTCCCCATCTAATATATTTGTATCAACAGCAATTAACAATCTGACGTTAAAAGATTCGAATTCTATAAATATTGGGTTAAATGATAAGGTACACTTGTGAAAGAAAATGTAAATATTTAATATAATTTTTAATGTTTGAAAAATTATTAATTTTTATTTGCAGAATAGGTATTCAAGTATAGGAGAAATGTTTCTTGAAAATAAACTTTCATTGACATTAGAAGAAATAGTTCATATTCGTTGTGTCCTTACCAAAGCTGAGTTGGAATCACTGCCTGCTGAAGCTAGTGTAAAAGAAGACGTTGAAAAACGAAGAGTATGTTTTTTATGTTTAAAAACTCGATTTGGTTTACTAGGACCATGGGGTCAACGATGTAGACTTTGTCAAAAAACAGTTTGTGTAAAGTGTTATTCGAAAATGAAAATTCCCACCGAACACTTTGCAAATGTTCCAGTTATATTATTATCTCCAGGATTATCCGTTTCTCCATCTTCCACTGATTCTAATACTGAAATTTCCAAAAATTGGTCTAAAAGTACTATTATTGGTTCAGCTCCAACTTCACCAGCAACAAAACGGTAACATTTAATTAGAATATTTGTATTCAAACTAAATATGATCCATTAATTTTGATGATAATATTAATATACATTAAAGTATTAGAAGGAATCATTTTTATTTATAATATCTGTTTGTATAATATGCATATTTAAAAAATTATATATATTTTATATACATATATATAATATTTATTTTAGATTTTGAAACATTAATAACATTATATTCATTTTTAATCAGAAAACTTTAACCAATCAACTTGATTTGAATTTAAAGAACATCTTAAAATTAACGAAATTATACTTATGTACCGTATTCAGAGTATTAAAAATAATCTGTTTGTTGAATTTGACATACAATTGGTTACTTTATAATGTGTTTACTTTTCCGATATAAAAGATTTGTCGTATGTCTTTATATTTTTAGACCATTTTGTTCGTCAAATATATTAAGAAACAAATGTATAATAAACATAATCTCATTAATAACGTATAAGCGTAGCTTTTGGCATGATGTTGTAATGAGACGCCATAAAAAAGGGGGAAACGTAAGGTGAGTCCTACGTACAATAGTAAAATGCTGTATAGTGTATAAGAGTAAATAAAGTATATTACAGTTTAAAATATACATATAATAGACACAATAATACTTAATAAAACAGATACAAAAATTGAGTATGAAAAATATAAGATAATTAATTCACAACATAAGCAATGGGCAATATCTTAGTAAGTTATTTTATGTTATATTTTAATAAATTAATATATGCCTTTTCAACTTTTGTACTATAAATAATATAACAGCGATTTATCCTAGTAAATTTGGCTTTTGAACGAGCTGTGTTAAATTACTGGATAAAATTTTGTAGTATATGAAATATTTTTCGAGACATAATAAATATTTTGTTTGATAGTAATATAATTAAAACAACTTATTGTAAATGAGGTGTGATTGCAATTGAATTTTATGTAAATATACGCACTCTTAATCGGATTTTTATATAATTTTATTTCTGTGCTTTATATAACAATAATGTATTTATACTGAAGAGTTTACTTTATTGAAATAAACATATAACTTAAATTTACATTGATTTAAGTGCATGTAAAAAATACTATTATTGTGAATTTTTAATAAAATATTTTATCCATTTCATCTCTTCTATTTCTAAATATACAGATTTGAAGTTTTTGATGGATTGTATATTTATTTTTATTCGAGTGCAACATTTTACCTATTTTACCTACAATACTATTATTAATTCTTATCCTTGACATAATTAATTTAAATCCATGGCACTTTTGCCACAATTTATCGATAATAACTAGCTAGTAAAAGCTAGAACAGTTTACATTTAAATTTTACTAGAGTAGAGTCAACTTAAGACACTATAGATTAATATCTAAGTTATAGATGACTATAATCTAAATATCTAATATCTATAAACTAAGAGAATATTTATATATTAACAATTTCGTATGTATTTTGTAATATTTTATCAAAAGTCTAGTTTTTAATTATTAATTTATATTTTTAGGCAAACATTGTTAATTTTATATTTACGAACTAAACAATTTTTTTTATATATCGCCATAATACACCACAATAAAACTTTTAGCATTTATATTTTATTGTTACATTCACATTAAGATCATTGTTTAACAGGATCTATCTTATCTATTATACAGTCATATTATAGTTATCTTTATTTTAATTTATTTTCTATTTTATCACTTTTGATTTTCGATTCTAATTACTATATAGAACTGTTAAATCATGTTAAAAAGTTTTTTAATTGTATTAAAATTAAATTTACAATATATATTTATATAAAATTTAATTAATTTAACATCCATGAACTAATCATACATGAATGAAGTAGCTAATTTATCCAATTAATACGTTCTTGAATAGGTTCTTGTAACCTATTATCATTGTTCACAATGTTTACAATTTTGATAACTGCATAATTTAAGAAAAATGTAATTTTAATAATAAATTGTTAAATTAACTATACATTTTAGTAATCACTAGCTCGGTAACAAATTTTTAATTTTTAATTAAAAAATTATTAAAGTAAAAAAAAACTAAAATATTGCCAACTTTAATTTATATTCTTATAATTACTCAAATTTCTATTTCAGTCTAATTGCCTATTTCTTATATTAAATATCATATTTCTAAATATCGAAATATTTTTAGTTCTTTGTAACTATATTCTACTAGATATTGTTCATATTTAAAAATTTTCATTAATTTATTAAAAAATATTATAAAATTTATTCAAGATTTTAAGTAATATCTACTTTTACAAATAATTAAATTTAAGTATCAAATAGATAATATTAGATTTGAAATTTCAAGTAGAAAATACTTTGATTAATTGTGTAATTTCATTAGTTATTTCATCTGGTAAGTGACTAAAAAAAGTCTTTTATACTACCTCTTCCATTTATTAAAATATATTATAAAGACTATGAAATTTCTTTATTTGATTATCTTTATACTTTCACAATTGAAAATTAATTTTTGGATAAACCTAAAACATACTTAAAATAAATACTGTTTTATCGTTTCTCAAATCTAGTCCTTATTTTATTAATTTGTGTGATTAAATTGTCATTAAAATGACAAGAACTGTAAATTTCTGTTTCAAGGAGTTACACCAAATGATAGAGGATTCCATCTGTGAAATCTGTGTGCGACAAACGCATTTGGTATACTTTTATATATCGTAGTCTCTTATTTATCTTTTTTTTCAATATAGAAAGTAGTAAAAAGATTCCTGTATGTAATTAATTTTTACCCAAAATCTAATAGAAAATAATCTCAATTTGTAATAAAATTGAAAAATATTAATGAAAAGATGTATCGACATACGATTTTTTTACATTATTTCATTGTCTCGTTCAAATAAATTGTTATAGATTTTAGCTTGGGATATGTGACTTTTCAATTATTTATGTATATTATCTAATACATTTATTGTGAAAATATAATTAAAATTAAATAGTAATATATTTTATTTTATATAGAATTCCCCGGAAATTTTTTGGAACCTCCTCTAAATTATCTAATATTGCAACATTTGGAAATATAGGCAGACTAAATAGAAATGACGAGCTAGATGCAGAACTTATCCATGGAACATTGATGGTTGTATGTCATGATTGCCGTATAATGCTTATTCAAATAATCAAGAATTCTCGTTTAACACGATCTAGTATCCGAAATAATGTCATATCTCGTTTAACTCTTGACGTCTTACCTGTATATGTTTAAATAAAGTAATTAAGCAATTAAATATTCTATTAGATGTGTTATTTTTATATAAATATAATTTGTATTAAATATAGAGTAATTTATAATTCTACTATATCTACGTAATAATATTATAATTATATATATATAATTATAAATATCGTGAAAATTATTATATCGCTAGCTTTACTACTATGGTTGTGCGACAATCTATTTTAATTGTTTTTTACAACTTATATTATATTTTCATTAAATTTTTATTTTTATTTATGTATTGGTTATTATAATAGTAATATTTTAATATATAATATTTAATATAATATTTTAATAGTTAAACTTTAATTTAAATAATTTATTAGTTTATTAATATATGTAAATATAAATAAATATGTAAATAAATTAATGTAAATATTCAAGATTCTCAAATTTAATTTATTTTAATTTTTATATAATTGAAATGGTCATTTTTTATTTATTAAAAAAAATAGAAAACATAATTAAACTAACTTAATCTAATATCACTTTTTCTAACAATTTTTTATTTAATATCGTGGATAATTAATTAACCATATTTTTATTAAAATTATATAATTAATTAACTATTAATGTATTTCCTTTTTTTCTAAAATGTATTGATAACTTACAAAAATACATTTGTATCTTTTGTAATTCATTAAGAAAAATATATAGTACAAGTCAAATTTTAATACCAACCTCTTTCTTTAATCGATGAATTTTTTTATAAAAATCTATTTAACAAATTAATGTATTATGTTGAGATAAAAATTGTTTACAATTTGTTACTGCTTTCCATTTATTTCAAAATTTTATAACATTGTAACTGTTAAGTTTTCTTCGTATTATTTCTTTGTGTAAATATAATTTTTGTATTAGATTTAATTATTAAATGCTGTAGTGATAGCGTTTATTTTTAATTTGTTTTTATACATATATGTAATTTAATATATAAATGATAAAAAATACATTCATTTATCGGAAATTTTTAGATATTTTATTATTTATTAGTTTTAAAAGAAAATCACGTAATATAGATCATGTAATTTATAATCCATATAAATAATAATTATATACAATTAAGCAATAATATACAAATTCTACTTAAAAACATATATTGGTATTGTAGCTATTTAGTACTGATATATTAAAGAAAGAAAATCAACAATACTATTTCTGTCACTTGATAAAAGCAGTTCTAAGATAGCAGGAAGTTACAATAAAGGGGAGAGATGTGTAAGAGTATGTTTAAATTGTACATACCTAATTTTGAATTATGAATATTTAATATGAATTCTTTTTAAACACAATTATTATATATGTGCGAGAAGTTAGCATGTATTGTAATATTTAAAAATATAATTGTTTAAGAATACAATATGTTGTTTTTAAACAAGTTTTATTATTTAATCATTTACTTCATTTTAATAAAAATTAATATTGCAAATTAATAATAACAAATAATCAAATAATTTTTATTAATTTTACAATTTAGTAATGTTGTAGTTGTAATATGCTTAGGGCATTTATAAACTTCTGAATCTTATTTGAGGCTCTAGCGCAACGAAGCTGACTGGAATTAACAGTGTGTTTAAGACTACCGAAGCTTCAAGATCAGTACATTGTCTAAGGTTTTGATCTTTGGAATATGTGTTCGATTTAATTTAAATAAATTTAGACTTAAATAATTTTTGCATAAAAAAAATTAAAAATTAATTTTTTTTATTAAAGAAAGTCAACAATATGAATAAATTTGCACTACTCCTTCTTTGTAATATATTGTTATTAAATAAAATTGGTAAGTTAAAAAATATTCATTATATTTACTACTAGCCTTACTATTAAACATGTTATGTAAAATACGTATATATATACTTTTTAATCGTCTAACTTACATTTAATTAAGATACTTTAAATGTTATTAAATAAATAAAAAAAAAGTGAAACTTGATCAGCGTTACTGTTGTAAACATTATTTTATTAAATTAACATACACAAATGTTTATTAAAAAAGAAGAATAATTTTATATTAAAAAATAGTAAATTATTTAATATTATAACAATATGTAAAATATATAATGTACTATACACATCGATTACATATTGTTAGATTATTACTTTATAAACAATATTGCATGTCAAGATCAACAAATAATAAATATTTATTTTAATTATTAATCAAAAACAAATTTGAATTATATATAGTATAATAATATAAAAAACTAAAATCAATCTTATTTAAGTGAATCATATTTTTAAAATTTAAAAAATTTAAAATGAGAATGATATACATTATTAAATGCAGTACTATTATATAGTAATAACTTATTAGAATTTTCCTATTTAATATTATGTAATAGAATTTTTTATAGAAATAAGTTTTTATTTTAAAAATGATTGAATTAAAGAGTAGACTGTGATGATTACTCTTAAGTAAATAAGTATAGTATTTTAGATAATCAAATCAACCCGTTATACATTGAAAATTACACAAGTTATTCTATGTTAAATCACTTATAAAACATGATGTTCTTAGAAATGTTAGTAATTTTATTATATTGCAATCACTGAAGTAATTTTATTTAATTTTTAGTTTCATTTGATGTATGTGTATAATGTTCTTCTAGGTATTAAAATATAAACATCAATTTGATTGACCTCAATTTTCATCTATAAAAAAATAATAAATATTTGAAATTCTTCTGCTTTTCATGTAATACTATACTGAAAAATTTAATAAATTAATAAATTGTTATATTTACTTGATACAAAATTTAAGATTTAATTGTAAATATTATTTACCTATATTATGATTAAATTTAACTATATTATGTTTATCAAAATACTCATTCTTTTATGGCCAGTGAAACATGTATTCATGCGTATATAACGACATATATTTTTTAATTATAATAATTTTAATGATTGTATAAATTATTAACTTTTTTCTATATACTACTAAAATACATACTAAAATACAATATTAATTTTACTTATTATTTTTAAATTCTTTTAAACAATATTTTTAAGTATATTTGAATATTGTATAAAATAATAGTTAATAAAATTTTTTTAATTCAATAAATTAACTATATAACTTATAAATATTATTTATGAAACTTATAAATATTTAATCATTTTCATAATATATTAGATATCAATATTTTTTCACTAATAAATAGATCGAAATCCTGATAATTATATCAGTATAAATAATAAAATTTTAAAATTAATTAATCATTTTATTTAAATGACTAAACTTGTAGATTAATAAGAACCGTAAATAAATTTATGGAATTATTGTTTTATTAACAAAATTTCTATAATACTCAGCTTGTATTCTTAAATTTTAATGTTACAAAATAAAAATTTTATAAACATGAACATGAAGTAATGTTATTTCGCAATATATCTTCACTTTCACAATATCAGATTACTAACAAGAGTAAAATTTGGTTGCATTCAATACTTGATCATAGACATAAAAATTTAATTTCAGCAGTTTGTAATAATTTAATTCATAGCTATAGCATAATAGCTATTATAGTAGTTTATTTTATAAATACTGATAAAAAATTCAGTAATTGATTTCCATTTATATTTTATTAGTTTAAAATAAAACAGTGTTAAAATAGAGTAAATATATTTAATATATTTTACATTTTTCTTCAATCAATTGTTTTAATGTAATATATTTGTATAACTAGAATTTTTGCCATAGTTTTATATTTGCTTATATATTACTTAGTATTATTTTGAATATTTTTATTTCCCTCATACGTATATTGGTAAAAAAGAAATAAATCTTAAGTTTAAATATATTATTGTATAATTATTGTAACATACCCTATAAATTAGTCTAATATTTAACGAAATATACTTTAATTGATTTATATTAATCCTTGCCATTGAAACGATAAATAAAAATGAACAATAAAGGTTAATAAAAATCAACATATATTAATATATATATATATATATATATATATTATTTTAAATATTCAATTAAAATTTTAATTCAATTGACTACTTAACCTAGTTTTCTAAACTTTAACATAGTTTATATGTTATGAATTTTTGTCAGACCAGTATATGTAATCATATAGTTTTAATTTTTTATTTTTTATGATTTTTATTTTTTGATTGATTTATTTGAGTGACTTGAGTGATGCATGAATTTTTTAAATGTAAAAATTTTATGGAAATTCATATTTAACACCTTTTAAGCTTTTTAAGTATTTATTGTCAATGTTATCAATACTGTAAATTGTATATTGTACAAAATACTTTATAAAAGTTATATAAAAATTTTCCATATATCTGACAATTATAGCTGATTATATTGTAACAAAAGGCAATGGATACATATTTTTGTTCAGAGTCTATCATCGGTATTAATTAGAATATCCCGAAAAACTCCATACTGAAATTTTAAATTTAAAATTTTTTTTCATGAGTTATAAACTTTGACCGTCATTAGATATACAATAAAATTTCACTGTTTGATACGCATGACTATCCATCTAATTGTATGGGTAGATTTATTCACTCTTATAAAAACCAATGTATCCTGTAATAGATTCATAAGTTATATAACAAAATTGAGTGAGTTATATTAAAAATGAATACTCCTTCTAAGATGTACTTATGTACTTAATACGAAACATTAATATAAAAAATATTAAGAGAAAGTAGTTGTTTGACGTAATAGTAGTATTGGTTATATTATTCAAATATACTATTTGATGTATATCTTCTTTTAATAGAAAATGAAAATATATTGATCGTTAGAATTAAAAAATTGATTTAAAATTTCTATTTATTATTATGTTTACTTAGATGCATGACTATTGAACATTTTTAAAAATATTGTTTTAAAAATATTAGATTGTATTGATTTTTTAAGATATTGATACGAATATTTATTGAGATAACTGCATATTATAAGGTATACTTATATTGTATGATTGATTAAAAAAAATAACATAAATATTCATAATTCATAATTATATTTGATATTAATAGTTTATAAATATAATTAGTCTCAATATTTTCCAGGTATACATGCTCTTCGATGTTATGACTGTAATAGTGTTACAGATAGTAGATGTTTTGATGACAAACCTCCAGATGCTCTAAAGAAAGATTGTTCAGAACTTCGTGATGGCTCAAAATATACAATGTGTAGAAAAATAACTCAAGTTATTGAGTTTAGCGTAAATGGATGTGAGTATAAAATTGGTTAAGAATAACATAAATTAAATATATTCAATGTGGAAAGAACTTTTTAATTTTATTATTTATATTTGATTAAAAAATATAAATAAATAATACATTTTAATTTAAAAAAATTAATTTAAAATTTATAAAATGTGTTTGAAAACTACTACGTATCTATTTATAATATACAATTGTAGTAAATGCAGTAATTAAATAACTTCAAACATTCATTTGATTAGTTAATAATATGTTAATATGTTAATTTAATATGTGTAAGCGAATTGATTTGTATTCATTCATATATAAAATGAAATTTTAGATAGGATAAAAATAAATTCACTCACACATACATACACATATACATTGAGTTTAACATTTTTCATATATATAAGAGAGAAAGAGGGAGAGAAAAGAAAGAGAGAAAAATTCAATATAATAAAACATGTTGTAAAGTAAAAATAAAAACTTATTTCCAATATTCCGTTTGTTCTGTTGTCTTTACATTGAGCAAACTAATATAATATAACAATATTTACTAATATAAATGAATATTTATCATTTTACAAAAATATCTGTGTGTAATATGTAACGAAATTTGGTACAATTACTGACATTAACTGTATATATCATAAATTTATCGGGGGGAAAGAAATTCACAGAAAGAGAAAAATTTACACCTATTAGTTATATATAATACTTAAGTACACAAAAAAGAAATAGCCAATTTTAATAAATTTGAAAAAAAATATAAAAAAAAGATAGAAGATTTTTAATTATGCCGATTGAGGATAAGATAAACAAATGGCAAGTGGAAAGGTAGTAAGGAACAGTGAAAAATATTCTAACAGCAGAGAAGAAAAATAATGAACAAAAAGGAAGATCGACATCGAGAATGCAAGAAAAAGGAAAATAAATAAGCGATATAACAATAAATAGGAAGATATTCAAGTTTGTAAAATGTGATATCAAAGAAGCATCTTGAAAATTAGGCAAGAATTAGATTTAGACGAACTGTTGTGATATTATGATCAGTAATTATTTTTAAATATCGATTTTAATTTTTTTTTTAATAAATATAAAAATATAATGTTAAAGCTGAAGTTACGCGATACTTACTTACCAGCTTAAATCTGTTCGGTATAAATTGAATAAAATCATCTTATAATGCAGGTTAAAGTAAGTAAATTCTAAATATTTTAATGTTTTATCTAAATTAATATTTTAAATTTCAATAGATATCAATTAGAATAATATACAGATTTTAATTTGTATTTTTATGTTTGGTAAAAATTATATGGAAAACTCCATACTTAAAAGTATAAAATATAAATATACATTATAAATATACATATTTTATATATTTATTCATTATTGAAATAATGAATTACCATGAATGCAGTATAAACGTGCTGAATATAATCAGTTTCAATTATTTGCTTAGACAAATTTATATGTATAATTATCAATTTTGTATTTCCTGTATATTGTATGCTTCTTTTTTAGAAGAAAAGCGTTGATAATAGTTTCAAATTATTTAATATAATCTAAATATGAATTATTCAAATAATAAAATTTATATTATATATTATTTAATATTTATTTTTTTAATAATGCAGGATAGCTAGCGGTATAAATATGGTTGTATAATTTGTAATTATCAACTCGTTTTATCCTAATTTAATATACATTTTAAATGCATGATAACAAAAATGAACATAGATACGATGAATAGAGTATAATGATATAATATTGAGGTAATATGAGATAGTGTAAATTAATTAATATTTGTAAATATAATACTTTTTTGTAGAATAATATTATTTATTAAAAGTAATAAAAAATCATCCATCAGATTATTATATAAAATTATTAAACTAGATTTTTTTTTATAAATATTTTTCTAAAATCTGAATAAAACATAAAATAATATAAAGTAAATGTATACTTTATATGCAATAATAAAAAAAAATTACACAATAACAAAATTTTATTTATACTTTTATTTTATTCAATAAGAATTTTATAAATAATAAAAACATATTATTATTTACATGAAACTTCGTAAAAAAAATGTCCAAATATTCCAAATAAATATAAGTGTTTTGGAATTTTTACAAATTTATTTTGAATAATATTAGAACAAAGAGCAAAATAATTTATTTCGTCTGTATATTGGAAACAAATTATAATTTTATAGTGTCGGAAGCAGTCTCTTGAATACTCGGTTGAAATAATTTTTCTACGCAACCTATGGTATTAAAATTTTAGAAAAATTATAAAATAAAATGTAATATAATCTGTTCAATATAATATAAATACATTCTATCTCACCATTTCATATAAATATCATATATTGAGACAATCCTTCATTCAATGATCACACTAGAATGCTTTATATTTTTGCTTACCATTAAAAATTATGATCGTCGTGCTTGAAACCTAATGAAAAGTCTCAAATTCCAAAGTATAAATGTTTTTATTATTTATATATCTTTATAAAGGTATACAAAATCTGAGTTTAAATTTTGATTGCATTATTTAAAAATGTAGTGTCAAATATTTTATTTATGCTATTATATTTACAGTTATTATAATATATATACATTTATATTATATTTTTTATTGTATTACCCGTTGCTAAACGTGCCTAAAAGCAATTTATAATGCAGAAGTTATTTCAAATAAGCATGTATCTAATTGATTTCCAGCCAAGAAAAAAGAATTTTTAAATTAATTACTGCCCCAATGTACTTGTTATTTATTATATAACGATACCGTTATCCCTTTCTCTCTTTTCCTGCTTTTCTATTTCATTACTTACTTCTCTTCTCTGTCAAATTATTCCACACTACTTGACATTGATCTATATGCAAATATACACACTATATACATGAATGTAACTTTTTGAATATACTTACGAAATAGTTAAAAGTATTAAAATTAAATTAAATTAAAAGCATTAAATAAATTTAATTATAGAATCTTATTAAAGGAAATTTAAAACTACAATGATTTTTTGCAAAGTTACAAAATAATTTTCACCTATAAAAATATTAAAAATTTTTCTATATGAAAATGAAAGAAATACGGAATTGTAAATAAATCTTCTATTACGATTGAAGTGAAAAATAATAATTTATTTATTTTACTATTGTCTTTTTCCAGTACCAGCAAATACTCGGGTAATTAGAAGTTGTGGCTGGGATGAATCTAATTATAAAGGAAAATGTTATCAAAGAGGTGGTTTTGGAGGAAGACAAGAAGTTTGCTCTTGTACAAGTGATTTTTGCAATGGTGCTTCTAACAACAAATTTTCGTTTTCATTGCATTACATTTGGGTATTAAATATTATTTTAATATTTGTAACTTTATAAACGATTATATGACAGCATTATAATAGAAAAATAATCCTGAACTTTTAAAGATTAAAAAGGTTTCAAATAAATAAACTTCCGTCTTTTATTAATTTAAAGTTTTAACATATTAAGTACTCAATTTTGTAAGGAAAAAATTTTATATTAAAACATTTAGCATATTTTGAGTATATGAAGAAATCGTTTGTATTATTCTATACTACTTATAAAAATAAATAAAACTTACCATTAATAAGGATTAAAAATTAATATACATAAATGATTTAATTTGTTTATTATATCATAATTTAAAAATAAAGCAATAAACATATTTAAAACAAACATCTAAGTCTTCAATTTTATCTAATAAGTAACAATCAATTTTGTACCTAAAGTAAAATATCTATTTTAATCTCTATCATTTATAAAAATGTGTATTGCAATTCTAATATAGTTTTTTTGAGTATATATAACTTTAAAATTAAAGTAATAAAGGATACTATTTCTTGTAAAGTATACGTAAATAAAAGATAAGATAATTTTTAAAATTATTACTATTCAGCATACTGCACACAATACACGTACATTATATACATAAATATTTAAATATTTATGCCTTTGCAGAAGTGAATATATATGAATACATACGCGCTCGCATATACATACATACATAAATATGTATGTATATATATATATATATATATATATATATATACACATACACATGACATGTTATTTGTACATTTTTAGGTCAATGTTTAAAGTATATTGTTACATATACACATATAAATATAAAATATAAAATGAAGTCATATATACTATTAAACAATTACAAATGTTAATAATGACCCCATATTTCAACTCAAAATAGTATATTGACACAAAATGAGTTCAAGATAATCATTCATCTTGTAACCATTTATATTAATATTAAAATAATAAGCATACTGTCGAGAATGTACTAACTATGTACTATTAGCGATAATTAACTTTTTTTTTCTTATAATACAAAATATTAATAAAGCTTTCAGCAAGTATCTTTTAAATATTTATTTTAATATATTTAATGTAAATAAAATCTTTAAAATTTTAAAGAATATGAAAATGTTTACCAAATTATAATTATTAATACAAATAAAGATATTACTACGAATAACCTTTACCCAAACTAGAATTATGTAAAAATAATATTGATCATTGTGATAAAAATGCAATGTACCAAAATCGAGGTTGTGTATTTTCCTCTGAATATTAACATTAATAATCACTTGATAATTGAAACTAATTAAATATGAATTATTTTATCAAATAAATAGAGAAATATAAGGCATAATCGAATGCATCATCGGTAAATTTTAATAAAATATGAATAATGTAAGCGTTGTTTGTGAATTGTCCAGGTACTTCAAAATTTTATAATATATTTTTTAAGTCTTTATCTTAATAGTAAAATCAGGTTATTAATGTCAAGTAAAGATATATTTAAAGTCAATTCTTAAATTATAAAAATAAATTTACATTCTTGATCATTTTTGTAAATTTCCTTTAATTCCTCCTAAATTATACACATATTTATGCAAAAAAAAAATACAATTAAAAATTATTAAGTTACATTGTGAATAATTGTGAATAATTACAGTATTGTCATGAAGTATTATTTCGAAGCGGTATTTGTAAATGTAATCAAATTAATACTAAATCAGTTTATTCCCTAAAGTAAAACTAATACCATATTTTTAAATTAAAAAACACAAATAATACTTTTATAAATAATTCAGTTTAATAATAATAAAATCATATTCCACATTTTTAAAATCAATTGCTTATAAAATTAAAATTATTATATACTGAAATTTATGAAGCAGCATACATTTTTAAATAAATACTTTTGATTAAATGTGGAAATATATATCAATTTATTTTCATACTTTTATAAAATTATATTTATCAATAATTAAATTACATGAAATTATTTTAATATTATTTTTTATATTTTTAAGAACAATAAATATTCTACTTTGTATAAGCAAATATTTATAAAGCTATTACTGTTAGCAGAATAACTGTCTTCAACAATTACAATTTAAAAACACAATAATTACTATTAATTACTAAATGATACAAGAATAAAATAATGAATTATTTTAAACAAAATAATTTATGTATATATATGTTATTAATAAAAAAAAATTAATTGAATTATAATTTTTACGCTTTAACAGCAAATAAAAATAAAAACAACGAAGAATATAAAAAGAAAATCTAATTACTCCCCCATTCAAAAAAAAAAAAAAGATTAAAAGAATACTTTCTCCTTATCACATTCGGTTTTATGATTAATATTATGTAGTTTACTTCGTATTGAAGATTAACAATATTAGAAATAAGTTAAATATAACATAGCATAAGTATTTGTAAATAAAATTTCATTATATTGATAGATATATTGATTATAAATGCTGATGAATATATTCATATAATTCAAAATATGAAAAAAAGTAAAAATTTTTCTACATAAAAGTAATTCTAATAATTTTATATTATTCTTTTATTAGATATAATTTATGTATACAAATTCAAAATAAATAAGCAACAGAATTATTTGTACAAATGCAAATATCTATTAATAGCTTTAGCAAATTATCTAATTTAACAGCTATTTGTATAAAATGAGATTAGGTAGTTAAAGATAAGAATATGATCAATTGAATTATAGTAAAATAAAAAATATTTACTAATGAATTATGTAATACTTAATGTACTTAAAAGTATAACAATATAAATAATGATTACACGATATTGTATATTAAAAATAAACTGTGAATATTTATTGTTAGTAGATAGTATTTATAAAATTAATTTCAAATTGTTTTATCTACATGTATAATTTCATATGTTATTTTAAATAAAGTATAATATTAGATTCTTTCTATAAATGAAATTAAATAATAAAAAATTTTACCTAAATATAGATATTATTTATAGTAAAATAAGTAACATAAAATTAAATAACGTATAATCTAAATAATATTTATATTGTAGCTGATTGAAATGATATTAAAGATAAAAGATTTTATTATTTATATAAATCAAACAGAAAATATGTAATAATAATCTTATTTTATATACAGTAAATTTATAAATGGTAATTTAAATAATGAGACCTTCCGCAATTTAAATAATTACTGGAACAAAACAGATCTGTTTATTGAATAATATCTTTCTTCCCTTGGGTAACTTTTGTACAAATCAACTAACTTACTTGACATTTAATATGTTGTGAACTTTATAAAAAAATTATTATTTTTTTATAGTTTCTTTAAAATTGTTACAAAATAATAAATGACATAAATTAGTTAACTCGGGAAAAATTTAGCTACAATAAGATATATATATATATATATATATATATATATATATATATATATATATATATAAAGTATTATTGTAAAATTATGAACGTTTATTGTATTTTTTAATGTTTTTTAATAATTTCTTTATGAAGATAAAAACAGAATAAATGATTAGAAATTTAATTGAATCGTACAAAATTGAAACAAGGAAAGGAAGATATTCGTTAAACAGACCTGTCTTGTTCAAGTAATTATTTAAATTGCGAAGGTCTTATAATTAAATCACCAATTATGTGACATATATATAGTGCGTGTGTGTGTATGTGTAATCTTAATAAAATATAATAACGTAAATAAATAATATATGTAGTAATTTTATTTTAAAGTATAATTATATAATAATTTGAAAGTTATAAGTTTAAAATGGTTTATGAATACACGTTTTATAGGTCAAATAAGTAATTGTATCTATATTATTCATATTATTAATTCCATAAACATTTTTCATTCATCATACATAATTTTTACAGTTTGTAATATTTAAAAATTATTTTGTTCAAATCAAAATTAGGATGATCAAACTCATGAATTAAATAATTGACCCAATTACTTATTTAATATTTACATTCGTCTATATATATATTTAAATTATCTACCCTTTAATTTCATTTTTTTTATTTATAACTCTTTAAAAATTGCGTTCTAAATACACTTATAATTTTTTATAATCTATTTAAAAACATATCCCTCATTTTTTTAAATATTTGATGCTATATAATAAAGCTATTACTCGTTAAGTAAAGAATAAACATTATTGTTATTATCCACTCTAGTACACATACATACAAATTATTTCTGATATTGTTTAAAAAATATACCTTATTTTAAAACAAAACTCTTTCATGGGTTACCTAAGAATAAGATAGCCCTACTTATATATAATTTGTATATTAATAAAAATATTTTCTTATACAACAATGGATTGATACATTTGGCTTTTGGACTATATATTTATAACCAAATCTGATCGCAATTTAATTCTGACCGAAATAATAGTGCATTCGCCATCGAAGCAATAGATAATTTAAAGTAACTATAGAGTAAATAATTGACTCGAGTTGATTATTTTGGATATTTCTCCTTTTTTGTAAATTTAGCACAGTTTACGTTTATAGCAATTTTGTTAGCTTTATTACCAATTTAATTTTTTATCTTATATCTATTATATTAATTTTTAATTAATTATATTAAAGTCCTTAAAATATTCAATTAATGCTAAAAAAAGTGGGAGAGGTATGAGCGCGTGCAGCATTGTTTGGTAAACATTGGCCAACGGACTCAACGAATGCTTCTAACCGAAAAACTCGAACATACGACTATAATTCCGAGAAATATTAACAAATGAACCCCAAAAAAGCTATGCGCTATTGCCGTCACGACAAATAGCGGCATAGTAACAGCCACCGATGCGCTATCGGCGCATCCAGTTCGTACGAGAATGTGAAAGGAGCTGCACGTGTCGCGATTGCCCTGCTAGTACCAATCATGCACTCTTCACGGCGGGCTTGCTATCCAACCTTGCCATCACCATTGGGAGGCCATAGCAAGCATCAAGCAACCTAAGGACCTAATAGCGATGACACAACTATACTGGCACCCACGCCTCAG